TTATAGGGTCGGAAATGACTCCTTCACGTTCTTTGAAGCTTCGGACTGAAGGTACAATACCATTTTTTAATGAATATTACCTACATTTTTACATGGCATTTTTCGGACAAATCAATATTTAAAAAATCCATAACTAAGCCAAGAATGTCTTAATTTCAATTCGGAAAGCGCTCGTATGTTTATTTTTAGCAGATTTATAAAATTGCCTAGGATTTATAGGGTCGGAAATGACTCCTTCACGTTCTTTGAAGCTTCCGACTGAAGGTGCAATACCATTTTTTAATGGATATTACCTACATTTTTACATGGCATTTTTCGGACAAATCAATATTTAAAAAATCCATAACTAAGCCAAAAATGTCTTAATTTCAATTCGGAAAGCGCTCGTATGTTTATTTTTAGCAGATTTATAAAATTGTCTAGGGTTTATAGGGTCGGAAATGACTCCTTCACGTTCTTTGAAGCTTCGGACTGAAGGTGCAATACCATTTTTTAATGGATATTACCCACATTTTTACATGGCATTTTTCGGACAAATCAATATTTAAAAAATCCATAACTAAGCCAAGAATGTCTTAATTTCAATTCGGAAAGCGCTCGTATGTTTATTTTTAGCAGATTTATAAAACTGCATACTCCATTTAAAATGTGAATTTTTGGCCGATTTTTGCAAATTTTCATGATGTAACCCCTTTCCTTTTTTTCAAAAAATGGGAAATTTCTGAAAAAATATTTTTTGGCTCGGAGATAGCTAGAACGATTCGCCTGTTGATACTGATCAAGAATATATATAATTTATAGGGTCGGAAATGACTCCTTCACGTTCTTTGAAGCTTCCGACTGAAGGTGCAATACCATTTTTTAATGGATATTACCCACATTTTTACATGGCATTTTTCGGACAAATCAATATTTAAAAAATCCATAACTAAGCCAAAAATGTCTTAATTTCAATTCGGAAAGCGCTCGTATGTTTATTTTTAGCAGATTTATAAAATTGTCTAGGGTTTATAGGGTCGGAAATGACTTCTTCACGTTCTTTGAAGCTTCCGACTGAAGGTGCAATACCATTTTTTAATGGATATTACCCACATTTTTACATGGCATTTTTCGGACAAATCAATATTTAAAAAATCCATAACTAAGCCAAAAATGTCTTAATTTCAATTCGGAAAGCGCTCGTATGTTTATTTTTAGCAGATTTATAAAACTGCATACTCCATTTAAAATGTGCATTTTTGGCCGATTTTTGCAAATTTTCATGATGTAACCCCTTTCCTTTTTTTCAAAAAATGGGAAATTTCTGAAAAAATATTTTTTTGCTCGGAGATAGCTAGAACGATTCGCCTGTTGATACTGATCAAGAATATATATAATTTATAGGGTCGGAAATGACTCCTTCACGTTCTTTGAAGCTTCCGACTGAAGGTGCAATACCATTTTTTAATGGATATTACCCACATTTTTACATGGTATTTTTCGGACAAATCAATATTTTAAAAATCCATAACTAAGCCAAAAATGTCTTAATTTCAATTCGGAAAGCGCTCGTATGTTTATTTTTAGCAGATTTATAAAACTGCATACTCCATTTAAAATGTGAATTTTTGGCCGATTTTTGCAAATTTTCATGATGTAACAACCCCTTTCCTTTTTTTCAAAAAATGGGAAATTTCTGAAAAAATATTTTTTGGCTCGGAGATAGCTAGAACGATTCGCCTGTTGATACTGATCAAGAATATATATAATTTATAGGGTCGGAAATGACTCCTTCACGTTCTTTGAAGCTTCGGACTGAAGGTACAATACCATTTTTTAATGAATATTACCTACATTTTTACATGGCATTTTTCGGACAAATCAATATTTAAAAAATCTATAACTAAGCCAAAAATGTCTTAATTTCAATTCGGAAAGCGCTCGTATGTTTATTTTTAGCAGATTTATAAAATTGCCTAGGATTTATAGGGTCGGAAATGACTCCTTCACGTTCTTTGAAGCTTCCGACTGAAGGTGCAATACCATTTTTTAATGGATATTACCTACATTTTTACATGGCATTTTTCGGACAAATCAATATTTAAAAAATCCATAACTAAGCCAAAAATGTCTTAATTTCAATTCGGAAAGCGCTCGTATGTTTATTTTTAGCAGATTTATAAAATTGCCCAGGATTTATAGGGTCGGAAATGACTCCTTCACGTTCTTTGAAGCTTCCGACTGAAGGTGCAATACCATTTTTTAATGGATATTACCCACATTTTTACATGGTATTTTTCGGACAAATCAATATTTAAAAAATCCATAACTAAGCCAAAAATGTCTTAATTTCAATTCGGAAAGCGCTCGTATGTTTATTTTTAGCAGATTTATAAAATTGCCTAGGATTTATAGGGTCGGAAATGACTCCTTCACGTTCTTTGAAGCTTCCGACTGAAGGTGCAATACCATTTTTTAATGGATATTACCTACATTTTTACATGGCATTTTTCGGACAAATCAATATTTAAAAAATCCATAACTAAGCCAAAAATGTCTTAATTTCAATTCGGAAAGCGCTCGTATGTTTATTTTTAGCAGATTTATAAAATTGCCCAGGATTTATAGGGTCGGAAATGACTCCTTCACGTTCTTTGAAGCTTCCGACTGAAGGTGCAATACCATTTTTTAATGGATATTACCCACATTTTTACATGGTATTTTTCGGACAAATCAATATTTAAAAAATCCATAACTAAGCCAAAAATGTCTTAATTTCAATTCGGAAAGCGCTCGTATGTTTATTTTTAGCAGATTTATAAAACTGCATACTCCATTTAAAATGTGAATTTTTGGCCGATTTTTGCAAATTTTCATGATGTAACCCCTTTCCTTTTTTCAAAAAAATGGGAAATTTCTGAAAAAATATTTTTTGGCTCGGAGATAGCTAGAACGATTCGCCTGTTGATACTGATCAAGAATATATATAATTTATAGGGTCGGAAATGACTCCTTCACGTTCTTTGAAGCTTCCGACTGAAGGTACAATACCTTTTTTAATGGATATTACCCACATTTTTACATGGCATTTTTCGGACAAATCAATATTTAAAAAATCCATAACTAAGCCAAGAATGTCTTAATTTCAATTCGGAAAGCGCTCGTATGTTTATTTTTAGCAGATTTATAAAATTGCCTAGGATTTATAGGGTCGGAAATGACTCCTTCACGTTCTTTGAAGCTTCCGACTGAAGGTGCAATACCATTTTTTAATGGATATTACCCACATTTTTACATGGCATTTTTCGGACAAATCAATATTCAAAAAATCCATAACTAAGCCAAGAATGTCTTAATTTCAATTCGGAAAGCGCTCGTATGTTTATTTTTAGCAGATTTATAAAATTGCCTAGGATTTATAGGGTCGGAAATGACTCCTTCACGTTCTTTGAAGCTTCCGACTGAAGGTGCAATACCATTTTTTAATGGATATTACCCACATTTTTACATGACATTTTTCGGACAAATCAATATTTAAAAAATCTATAACTAAGCCAAGAATGTCTTAATTTCAATTCGGAAAGCGCTCGTATGTTTATTTTTAGCAGATTTATAAAATTGCCCAGGATTTATAGGGTCGGAAATGACTCCTTCACGTTCTTTGAAGCTTCCGACTGAAGGTGCAATACCATTTTTTAATGGATATTACCCACATTTTTACATGGTATTATTCGGACAAATCAATATTTAAAAAATCCATAACTAAGCCAAAAATGTCTTAATTTCAATTCGGAAAGCGCTCGTATGTTTATTTTTAGCAGATTTATAAAATTGTCTAGGGTTTATAGGGTCGGAAATGACTTCTTCACGTTCTTTGAAGCTTCCGACTGAAGGTGCAATACCATTTTTTAATGGATATTACCTACATTTTTACATGGCATTTTTCGGACAAATCAATATTTAAAAAATCCATAACTAAGCCAAAAATGTCTTAATTTCAATTCGGAAAGCGCTCGTATGTTTATTTTTAGCAGATTTATAAAATTGCCCAGGATTTATAGGGTCGGAAATGACTCCTTCACGTTCTTTGAAGCTTCCGACTGAAGGTGCAATACCATTTTTTAATGGATATTACCCACATTTTTACATGGTATTTTTCGGACAAATCAATATTTTAAAAATCCATAACTAAGCCAAAAATGTCTTAATTTCAATTCGGAAAGCGCTCGTATGTTTATTTTTAGCAGATTTATAAAACTGCATACTCCATTTAAAATGTGAATTTTTGGCCGATTTTTGCAAATTTTCATGATGTAACCCCTTTCCTTTTTTTCAAAAAATGGGAAATTTCTGAAAAAATATTTTTTTGCTCGGAGATAGCTAGAACGATTCGCCTGTTGATACTGATCAAGAATATATATAATTTATAGGGTCGGAAATGACTCCTTCGCGTTCTTTGAAGCTTCCGACTGAAGGTACAATACCTTTTTTAATGGATATTATTGATTTAGTATCGATCTTGAGATGCTTTCTGAAATTCCTAGAACTGACCTAGGCCAAGTATCAATGATATGGATTGATTGCTTACAATTGCCCATAGGTTAAAGATACACCTATTTGTGATTAAGTTGAGTACAATGTGAGTCCAATGAAGTAATGCCAAATTGATTGCCTTATCTCGCAGGAGCCTCAATTAGGGTCTATATAATCCCTGCGGGTAATTGGCCTAATAAGTACGTATGTAGCAAGCATTACTAGCAGTATTTCGCAATTTCACAATATTTCTACGCACACCTGCTTTAAAAATTCGAATCTCTTTGCCCCATAAACACGACATATCACGACGGTTACCCCACTCGATGGAGATTGCCAACATTCTTTAGATTAGATTGGAGCACACACTCTTTGGGCATTTCCCCAGACATGGCTTGATTTCGATTTGACTTTATCTCTGGAGATTTGCTCGATTTAAATATTGTTTTATTGATCATAGATTTATATATATACTTGATATTTTGCAGGTGTGTGTGATTACCGATAGGCAGTATACCTTTGCCCAGATGCGTGATGCCAGTGCCGCCTTTGCCGTGCGCCTTCAGACCCAGTTCAAGCTCCGGAAGCCCGATGTCCTGGCCATTTGTTTGCCCAATCTGCCGGAGTATCCCATTGCCACGCTGGGGGCCATCGAGGCGGGACTTACGGTGACCACCGTGAATCCCATCTACACGCCGGGTAAGTTCCCAAGTCTTGCTAGTTCTCTAATACCCATTAACCTCATTAAAACTAGCATAGGAACGCTTTCCGATTTGAAATTTATAAATTTTTGGCTTGGTTATGATAATTTTAAACGTTGATTTGTCTCAAAAATTGTCATATTAAAATTATTATAGATTTCGAAAATGCGAATATTTTAAGCTAGATATGATCGAATTCCAATAGGGATTCCTATAAATAAATTTCAAACTTCTAGAGTTTATAATCCTCGGCCTCCCAAAGTTAGTTTCCTTTTTGCTTTAGTTTGTAGTTCAAAAATGCTGATGATAACATACATTTGATAGTAGAGAAGTAGCGTTTGTGGCGATATCTACTTGGTATTCTATAGTTTCTTCCAAGATAACAACAATATAATACGAGTAGTAGTAATTCTATAGTTTCTTCCGAGATAACAACTATATAATAGTATAATAAACGTAATTAGACTTGTAGTAGAACCTTATAGTTGTAGTAGAATAATTTCTATAGTTTATCGGTTAGATAATGCTCAAAGTTCAGCTGAATATATTTGCCATTAATATTTTAATATTTAGAGATATCAATTGTATAGCATAATATGACATCATGAGGAAGAAGAGTGATTATATTTTAGTGGGATAATTTCAGGGGTTTATCGGTTGGAAAATAATCATGCAAGAGCTACCAAACCTTTAAACCTTTAAGAATAATAATATACTGACCTTCTGTGCTCAGTAAAATGATCTCAGAAATTATATCACAGGTTTCGAGGACATTCCACAAGTTTTATTTACCAAAAACACTTTTTAAAAGCTTCTGTTTTGGAAATTACTCCAGCAAGTGAAATATATAATTTTAATTACATTTTTGTTAACTACAAACCTTTTATTTGCTCTCCTTCACTAAGCTTTTTAGCTTAACAGAGCTCTGGCACTTGTTTAATTACACATTCTATAAACCCCGATACTAAAAGTAAACTTTTTTATGACCTGGCCCGTATTTACGTAGTTTTGACTTCCATTTTAAGGCCATTATAACATGAAGATATAGCTAATACCCTTCATAAAGTTTCCTCCATAATTGGGCAAATAATAAAAGAACTATTTACGTGCACGCCGAATTAAAATTAATGAATTTTTGGCTTAGTTAGATTTAGAAGATTTAGTAAAATATTTAGTAAGTATTGGCTTAAAGAATAGTATTATAATTTCAGTCGGAAGCTTAAAACTAAGTAAAGGAGTCATTTCCGAGCCTATAAATCGTATATTTTCTTGATCAGTATCAACAGGCGAATCTTTCTAGCTTTGTCCGGCAAAAATTAAAATTTTTCAAAATTTTGAAAATTTTATAAGGGGTTACATCGTTAAAATTTACAAAAATTGATAAAAATTTGAAATTTTTTTAAATTGAGTATGCAGATTAATTAACCGTATAAAAACTAACATAGAAACGCTTTCCGATTTGAAGTTAATGAATTTTTGGCTGAGCTATGAGAATTTTAAACTTTGATTTTCCGAAGAAAGTAATCATATAAAATATACTAAAGTTCCCTCCATAATTAGGCAAATAATAAAAGAACTATTTGCGCGCACGCCGATGTACTTGGTGGGGGCCTAGGTTTATTAGCGGGGCCTCTCGAGTGCGTCAAACACGCGCCTTATCGGAGGCGCCTTTCTAACATATGTATGCTCATGGGCTCCAAAGTCGAAAGATTGTCACTAATTTGCCTTCTCTGACTTCTTTTCCAGACGAGATTGCCCGCCAGCTGACATTTAGTGGGGCCAAGTTCCTGGTGGGCACCGTTGCCGGCTTCCCGACCCTCAGCCAGGCCTGCAAATTGGCCGGAAAACAGCTGCCCATTGTGGTGGTGAGGACCAGCAAGGAGGATGTCCTGCCGGAGGGCGCCATCGATTTCAGTGAACTTATCAGCACCCAAAATATCCGCTACGATGACCTGCAGGCCCCCAAGGAGGCCACGGCCAACGATCTGGTCTTTTTGCCCTTCTCCTCGGGCACCACGGGTCTGCCCAAGGGTGTGATGCTGTCGCACAACAACATCACCAGCAACTGTGAGCAGGTGCAGGCCTCGCTGCCCCTGGATCTCACCGGTCCCCAGGAGACCCTGCCCGCCGTTTTGCCCTTCTTCCACATCTACGGCTTGACCGTGGTGATGCTCTCCAAGCTGGGCCAGGGCTGTCGGATGGCCACCATGCCCTGCTTCAAGCCGGATGACTTTATGCGCTCCCTGGACCAGTACAAGGGCAGCATTCTCAACCTGGTGCCGCCAATTGGTGAGTAGAGAGATCGCATGATTCTTGGATTAAAACTAATAATTACCTTCTTGCATTGCAGCCCTCTTCATGATCAATCATCCCAAGATGACGCAGGAGACGGCGGCCTCTCTCAGGGTGGTAATGAGCGGAGCTGCTCCCATTGGCCAGCACGATGTGGAGCGTTTCCTAAAGAAGTTAGTAAAAACCCTTCCAAAAGGAATTCCTTCCCAGATAGCTCATGCTGTGTCTCTTTTTAGATTCCCGAAGACGGTCTTCAAGCAGGGCTACGGCATGACCGAATCCTCGCCAGTGGCCCTCCTAACGCCCGATGGCAACACACGCTACGCCTCCACCGGAGTTTTACCCGCCAGCACGGAGGCCAAAATTGTGCCCCTGGATGGCAATGATACCAAGGGCGTGGGCCCAAAAATCACCGGAGAGCTGTGCATCCGCGGGCCCCAGGTTATGGCCGGTTATCTGAACAACGAGGAGGCCAATCAGGTCACCTTCCATCCCGGCAACTGGCTGCGCAGCGGCGATGTGGCCTTTTACGACGAGGATGGCTTCTTCTATATCACCGATCGGATGAAGGAGCTGATCAAGGTGAAGGGATTCCAGGTGCCGCCGGCCGAGCTGGAGGCAGTGCTGCGTGATCATCCCAAAATCCTGGAGGCGGCCGTCTTTGGCATTCCCCACGAACTGAACGGCGAGGCGCCGCGTGCCATTGTGGTGCTCCGGCAGGGCCAGGAGGCCACCGCCGAGGAGATTGCCGCCTATGTGGCCGAGCGGGTGGCGCACTACAAGCGGCTCGAGGGCGGCGTCATCTTTGTGGACGAGGTGCCCAAGAATCCCACCGGCAAGATCCTGCGTCGCGAGCTCAAGCTGAAGTTCTCCGACTGAGCATATCCCTAAGATATATTCCTTGTGATTTCTGTTCGTTTCTTTTTTTTTACTGAATGTACGTCTCAATTAGCGGCAGGGCAGGAATCTCTGCTCGAGGCCACAGGAACCCATGTATGTATATGCTATGACCATCAATGTTGGTCCTGGAAGCGGGGCTGGTTCACACATTGCATTTAACACTTCGAAAATACTTAGTTTGTAGGCGTAGAAGATAGGTCTCGATTAGTCGCACGATTGGTCCATAGTTTGTAAGCTAGCTAAGGCAGTTAGCCATTAGTCCGATGTTAACCACACACTATACTATACTATATCAATTGTATACTATATATACCATATCCCCCGATACACGTGTGACCCTCTATTAATACTTAATGACGACCCCACTGGATATTTCACAGGTTAACTTGACGATATTACCATATTCCCTATTATATATATATTATTTTTTTGCCTAGTACCCTAAGATATATCTGTTTGTTAATCGTATTGTAAGCGGCGGCATGCCATGTCTGCATATATATTTACTATACTATTTACATATGACATGTACGCCACGATGTTTGAGAATAAAGACAAAATGAACCATAAAATTACCATAATTTGTTTTTCTGGTGGTAACTTAGCGGAAAAGGCCCAGTAGGATGCTATTTTAGCCCAACAGCGCAATATAGCTAGATGCGCATCACTGGCGAAAAGTAAGATGCATTTTTGTCCCAATATTGCAAAATAGCTAGATGCGCATCACTGGCGGAAAGCGAGATGTATTTATGTCCCAATATTGAAAAATAGCTAGATGAGCATCACTGGCGGAAAGCGACATGTATTTATGCCCCAATATTGAAAAATAGCTAGATGAGCATCACTGGCGGAAAGCGAGAAGTCTTTATCCCCCAATATTGAAAAATAGCTAGATGAGCATCACTGGTGTGAAGCCTGCCTGAGCTGCAATCAAAATGGTCTGTGTCCCTATCTGAAGTACCAGGCCAACAGAAATCAGCAGAGGTCGACGATGAACCTGGTGAACTGTTATAAAGATCCCAAGTTTCAAACCATCACAGATCCGCGTATAACAGTTAGCGAAGACACAAACCAACTATCGATGTTTATCGAGCTTTTAAAATCGGGCTTAAACTTTGGCGGAAATTTATCGAAATTCAAATTTGAATTCAAATTTGGCGGTTAGTTAGTCCAACTATTTGAACCTTATATGGCGGGATATTTAAACTCAAATTTAGCGGTAATTGAGATACTTAAAAACACGATGCTATATTTTCGCATACCACAAAATTATTGCAATGCACTATATATTTTTTAATTTATTTATTTACGACAAAATACACAAAATTTTAGATTTTATTTATTTAGGTTTTAGCTTTTTAGTTTTTCTCTTAGTTCTTCGGTTTGTTGTTGTTCTTCTGTTGATTTTGCTGCTGCCGCTGCTGCTGCTGCTGTTGTTATGATTCTCTTTTGCACACTGCGATTACAATTTAAGTTTCGTGCACTTAATATACAATATAAAAAAAAATATATATATGTGTGTGAGAGATTTATGTGTGTGTGTGTATGTGTGCGCGCTGATTTATTTATTCGGGTTAGGAATAGTGCTTAAACACAAATTAGTGTGTTAATTACTCTATCGAAATGAAAAAAGGATTCAAACGAAGCGTCAAAAATTGCTTTAACTAAATTTCAGTTAAATGTTAATATAAAAATAACAAAATTGATTTTCTTCGTCTTTCTTACATATTTTTTTGTGTTTTTTGTATGTTTTCCTTGGCTTTTGCTATGAACTAAACAGTGTAAGAGTAAAGTACAAAAAATTATTAAATGCATAAATATATTCGTAAATAAAGTGACAAAAATATATATTATAAAGCGAGATAGATTCATATATATATATATTTATATATATGTATGATTACATAGGACCTCGCCGAGTCAAATAACAAACAAATATTTATAAAGTCATAACTTTTAAATCTTTTTCTTTTTTTTTGTGCAGATAAATGAATCCAAGAATCCGCATTTATGTGTGTAGTGCGTGTGTGTATTTAGTGCGTGTGTGTGTTTTTTTTTTGTTTTTGGAAGAGCGTTAACTTCAGAAAAAACAGTATTGTAACGGTTTCAGTTTCAGTTCCAACTATCCCTTAAAACTTTAGCTTTTACCAATGAATCGATGGGGTTAACTATGACAAAATTTGGCATCTGTTTTTTGAATAATGTTTGACACAAAAATAATTACAATAAAAAGTAGTTTAAAATCCTAACAAATAACAGCAAATTAAAGCAATTTCTCAAATTTATGGCACGATTTGTTGAACAAAATAATAGTAGAAAATAGATTAAAAATATATATATATGAATTATACCATGAATGTTGTTTTTGATTACAATTCACCTTTGTTTTTAGTATTGCCTCTAATATGCTTAATAAAAACTGAAGAATCAATTACGTTGAGGCACCTATAATTTTCTATAATAAACTCTCAAAAGAAATTCAAATATTGCACATTTCGTTATCGATTATTGGTTACAAAGCTCTAAATTTGTTTGTTTATCAATTGCACAAGTTTTGGGGGATAGCTTATCGGTTCTTCCTCTCTTTCTCTCTCTCTATTTCTTTGGCTCTTCGTTTGCATATGAATTAGATTTGTGACAGAGGCAGTAGTTGTAGTTTGGACAGTTGAAAATTCAAAAAAAAAAAAAAAAAATGCCAAAGAAAGAGAGAAAGTGCTAAAATTTTAGGATAAATACAACTTTACAATACTGTTACTGAAAAACATTTGAAAAACTACTCTTTTCTGATGATGTATAAGGTAAATATATATATATATATAGTATATGGTATATATAATAGTTTTGGTAAATAAATAGCTAACACTCTCTGCTTAAATGGTTTTCGCTTTAAAGTTATACAAATTTCACGTTGATTACTTTGTTCTTATCGGATATCGGTTTCGTTTTCGAGAGAAAAAGGCCACAAAATGTATAAACTTTAGCTGAGATTAACGTTGGTTGTTTCGCGTGTGTGTTTGTTTTGCTTTTGTTTTGTTTTTTTGATTGTTACGCGGGCAAACATCACACAGACACACACACACACACCAGCACACACGCGTGTGTGTATATGCATGCAATATACATATACAATATATATATATATAAATATATAATATCGGAGTACATTTTGCTACGTTCGTTTGCAATTCAAACATCGATTTTTTTCGCTCGTCAATAGTTTCGATTATCGATTTTTGCTGCTGCTGATGCTGCTGTTTCTCCTAATCTCTCCCTCTCTCTCTCTTTTCAGCTCTCTCCTTCTGCTCTGCTGCTCCTTCTGCCTTCCCCTCTGCTGTGTATTTCCTTTTTCCGGTTTACAATTCCTTTGCGCTGCGTTACGTTGTCATTGCCATGTGCTGGATATCATCCCATTCCATTAGATTTCACGCCTTGGCCCCAGGTATCTTGGAGAGAACCTTGGATAGATCCACACCGGTCAAAGCATTGATCGATGGCGGGAGTTGGGCCACCAGGCGGGTCACATCATTGGTCACATTATCATTGCCACCGATTAGGACAATTTCCTCTGTCTTGGCCAGCGGGGCAGCCACCTCGGCGGCAATCTGAAAGAGATAATCGATATTGGATAAGTTTTCCAGGATAATGATAACACGATAGCTTACCTTGGGCAGCGATTCAAGGACAATATTCATAATGGCAGCATCGCCGTACTGCTTATACACATGCGCCTTCATGCGCATCCTTTCGGCCTCGGCCTTGCCCACCAGCTCAATGGCATGGGCCTCCGCCGAGCCAATCTTACGGATGCGCTCCGCCTCGGCACGGGCACTCTCGATGGTCTGGCATCTGGCAGAGATAAGTGATAAGGATTGATAGGTTGATATTTCCAAGGTTAATCCAATGATACTCACTGCTTGGCCTGGGCCAGGGTCTGCAAACGGAAAGCCTCCGCCTCGGCGGGCAACTTGACGGTGCCGGTGAGCTCTCTATCCTTACGCTGCACCTCCTGTGACTCAATCTCGATCTGCTTGCGACGCTCAACGACCTCAATTTGAATCTCCTCGTTACGTATCCGCTGACGAATCTTGGCCGCCTGCAATTCGTAGGCCAATTGCGACTCAGCCTTTGCCGTATTGATCTCCTGATCGAAATTGGCCTTCTGCAGCTTGTACATGCGCGTATTATCCTCGATTTTCGTATCCGTCGAGTATTTCACATCCATGGCACTCTTCTCACACTCGGCCTCCCTTATGCCGGCATCCCTATTGGCCTCGGCCACACCCGCATCGGCATCCCGCTTGACCACAGCGGTCTGGGCCTTGCCCAGCGATGCCAAGTACTGGACATCATCGTACACATCCTTGATGGTGAACGAGAGGATCTCGATGCCCATGCGGCCCACGTCAGGAGCGGCGACTTCGCGGACCAAGGCCGCGAATTGGTCGCGGTCCTTGTACACCTCTTCGACTGTAAGCGTTCCTGCAAGGACACACAATTTGGGGGGGAATTAGTTTTGATATTCTTATTAAATTTCAGAATTTTGTTTGAACCAATTAATTGGAATTTTAAGTGGGCAAGATATGCCCTTCAGAAGTTTCCAAATATTCTACTTTGAAGCAATATTTATTGTTATCGATTTATATGGCAATTTTATCGAAAAATCAAAATTTAAACTTCTCATAACTTAGCCAAAAACTGATTAATTTCCAATCAGAAAGCGCTCCTTTGTTAGTTTTTAATAGGATAATAAATCTGCATACTCAATTAAAAATTGTAGAAAATTCCAATTTTTATCAATTTTTGAAGATTTTAACGATGTAACCCCTTATAAAATTTCAAAATTTTGAAAAAATTAAATTTTTGCCGGACAAAGCTAGAAAGATTTCCCTGTTGATCCTGATCAAGAATATATATGCTTTATAGGGTCGGAAATGACTCCTTCACCTTCTTTTGAGCTTCTGACTGAAGGTGCATTACCATTTTTTAACCGATATTAAATATATTTTAATAGGACATTTTTACGACAAATCAATATTTAAAAAATCCATAACTAAGCCAAAAATGTCTTAATTTCAATTCGGAAAGCGCTAGGTTAGCTAGGTTTTAGCAGGTTAATAAAACTGCATACTTCATTTAAAATGTGAATTTTTGGCCGATTTTTGCAAATTTTAATGATGTAACCCCTTATCAAATTTTATAAAAATTGAAAAATGTTTGAAAATTTTTTTTTACTGCCAAAAAACGCTAGAAATATTCCTCTGTTGATGCTGATTAAGAATATATATGCTTTATAGGGTCGGAAATGATTCCTTCACTGATTTTAAAGCTCCTGACTGAAATTATAATAATATCAGAACAAGTAAAACTGGTTAGATCTGGACTATATAGTTTTATAATTCCATTTTCCAAGCACGTTCTCAAAAAACACCTTGCCGGACACGTATTTGCACATTTCAAGTTGATTGTATCATTGCATTGCCAAAGTGCACAAAATATGTAACACAAATGTACAATTATTGGATATACCAATATATAGATAGATATATGCATATATATTCTACCCTGTCACACTAATAATCGATAGAAAATGACCTTACCGAGTGACCACCAGCGAGGTGACGCCCACAATTAGGGCCACCTTGAAGACACCCAACCAGACATCGGACATGTTGCCGGGAAACTAATGTCGCTTAGTTTTTTGTGGGCTCCAAAAATAAACAGGGTAAAACAGCAGGTAAAACAGGCAAAGATAGCCCAAGATAGCAGCACCTGTCCAGATACTCTATCTCTTTTAATTAAATCATTACGGGCTTATATTTGACGTCATCTGGGAGTCCGCAGTGTTATCGCACAAATTGTTATCACTAATGGCGTCACACCATAAGAAATTAATACAACAAAATAATCGGGTTCAAGGGGGATAACTTCAGAAACTATATAATGATCAGTATTTGTTATGATTTAATATAATAATTGATCAAGCAACACTTTAACTTTCATCGAGAACTTTTGTTTATAAAGCTTGTTATTGTCTCACATCGAAGGTCAAGTTCACTGCCTTGTATGTAGTTTTCTTATTTATTTTTTTGGTATTAAATTAACAATTAAGCTCGATTGTATTCACACGCGATTTGGGGGGGAAGAGAAAATAAAAGCGAACCAGACCCTACGGCGATGAGCCCACAACTGACAGCTTGAGCTGTCCGGCGGAGACTTGGAAATGGGAATGGAAATGAAAATGGAAATGTGAGTGGGAAATCGCCTTGAGACCTCGACACTAAACTATAGTAAACTATATAACAAACCGGAGGAATAACTACTGCCTCTCCCGGGTTCGATGAGCCCATAAACCCTACAATCGAGACTCTGCCTCGCACACTTCAAGTTATGTTTAATTAAAAGCTCTAGATTGGCCATCAAGGTCGCAAATCGAATAGAACTCAAAAGCTATAGTTGAGGGGGAAAAAAACAAACAATATATAGTTTTTTTCAAGGCAGAATTGCATTCCCAGAAATAGTTTTCAAAGTTTCACTTTGCAAACGATAACAAACAGGGAAAGCTGGCTGACATTCTAAGAAGTATGTAATTCTAAACAAGTAAGGTATTTAAACAACCTTTACAGATTTTCCTATGATTTATTAACCATAAACTGCCACAAACTTGTTTCTTTACAAGTAAATAACTGGCCAGAAATCCATCATATATTGTAATATATAACCAGAGAGTACATTAACCATGCCAAGCACATATTGTGTATCTCGCACTTATTATTCACAATTATCGACATAAAGTGAGTATTAAATATGAATATGGTTTTCTCTCTTATTAAACAATAAGTAGGCAATTTTCAAGACCACAAACTAAGGCTGAAAAGCTGAAAACCCAACTGAAGGGGTCAAGGAAAATGTTCAAGACAAAAAAAGATACAGAAAACAACGTAGAAAGAAATATATTTAAAAGAAAGTATTGATTATTGATGTAAAATATCAATTTTAGGGGTTCTGGAGGGCCATTTAATGACCAAAAAGCTAATGATTGTCCATATTCTACTTGCTTATAAAAACTGTAATAAATGAATATTAAAAACCTATAAAAATTCTAACAAATTAATATTAAAAACATGACGAATGTATTTATTATACATTAATTATTTGGCTTAGTGTGATATTTTATGATTTGAGTAATCTTCAATCCAAGAAAGTTTTTTTTTAGTTTGACAAAAAGAAAACTAACTTCGGGAAGCTGAATTTTAAAAACCCTTATAGTTAAAATTAAACTTACAATTGAATTAAACGATCATATCGAATATCAATCATAACTAAGCTTAAAATATTCACATTCTTTGAACCGATATTTATTTATATTTTAATTTGAACATTTTGTTGGAAAAATCAAAGTTTATAATTCTTATAATTAAGCCAAAAATGCATGAATTTCAATTCGGAAAGCGGTTCTATTTTAATTTTTTCGAGGTTAAAAAAACTGCATACTCAACTCAAAATGTTAAAAAATTAAAATTTTTGAAAAATTTAACGATGTAACCCCTTATAAAATTTTTAAAAAATCTGTAAAAATTGTGTTTCTAATAAAAAAGGCTAGAAAGATTCGCCCATTGATGCTGATCAAGAATATATATGATTTATAGGGTCGGAAAAGATTTCTTCACTTAGTTTGAAGCTTCTAACTTAAATTATAATCAAATAATTAATTATAAATAAATTTCCAGTATATTTATTAAATTAAGATTTAAAAAAAAACCATCCAAGTAGGCTCTGGTTTCCCCTAGTATACATCCAAGTAGGCTTTGGTGCCAATCTACAGTCTAGGTGTCAATGAGTTCCGACTGGGTTAGCTCAGTCTCATTATCCACACCGACCGTAAAGCACATACACCTCAAAAAATCGTTTCTCCACTCTCGAAAAAAGTTTATATATTTTTCTTAGTTCAACTTTTTAATACGCGAAGAAAATCGAAAAAAAAACAAACAAATTTAAAAATAAATCAAAAAAGAGAAATTGAATTGATTTGTCTTTCGGTTATCGGTTTTCGTTTTTGGTTATCGCTTATCGGTCGCCATAATGATTGCATCGCTGCGACGCCAACATGGCGGCGGTCGCGACTTCCTGTTGGAGAACAAGCAGCGAGTCTCCAAAATGGAGACCAACGGACGTTGCCTGGCGGCGGCCAGTGCCCGCCGGGTGCCCCTCTGGCGTCCCGTTGCCCTCCACTATACGGAAAAGCTGCGTCCGCATCATCACTACGGTGGACACCGGCGTCCAAGGCATGGCGGCGGCGCCGGCCCAGAAACTCGCAGCGGTCTGGCTCAGCCGTATATGGGGGCAGGATTTAAAAGAAACCCCGTGACCTTGGCTCCACCCTGCGTCCATGAGCTGAACCGGCGACGGCAGGCAGAGCAGCAAGAGCAGGTGCGACTCCAGGGAGGTTGGGTGGATCCAAGGCGAAAGGAGCGACCGGTAAAGAGAAGGTGTCACCAGGAGTGTCAGTGCCATCAAGGGGCCGAGGTGATTATCATTGGATTTACTCATTAAGGAAATGGATATCAATTTCTCGTATTTCTTTAGGTTCCTGCTGCTGTTCCTCCTCCTCCGGCAAGGCAGAGTGAGAGCAGCGACCAGGTGGAACGTCTGTCCCAGATTTCACGAGCTTCCCAGAGAGAAAGGTTCATGGCGGGTGAGCAGAATGTCGAGCCTGAGGCTCCATTGAGTGCCAGGAGTAGTGCCTCTGCCATGACCCTCAAGTCGAAGCGTTCCGTGTCCCAGGAGAGTGTTCGTTCGAATGTCACCGTCAAATCCAATATAACAGTGGTGTCCAGTGCCTCCAAGCTGAGTAATGTGTCCAAGCAGAGCAGTGCCTCCAAGCTGAGTAATGTCTCCAAGAAGAGCAGTGCCTCCAAGTTAAGCAACGCCTCCAAGTTAAGCAACGCCTCAAAGAAGAGCCACAAATCGGAACCCATGGAGGAGATGCCCCTGCCAGAATATCAAGAACGCGAGCAACTTTATAACCAGCAGAATCAGCACTCTCAGCACCATCATCCTCCTCCTCCTCCTCCATCTGAGGCCAAGGGTCAAGAGCAAGTGCATCAGGAATATGATGGCTATACTCCCCTTACACCAGCTCAAAGGCAGGCCATTCGTGAGGATGCTCAGCTCAAATATGGCAAATTAATGGAGGAATATAATCATTTGCCAGTCTCGGCGCCAACTTTGCGAGTTCGAAGCCGCAAGATTGCCATTGAAAAGGAGCTGGATGAATTGGACTATGCCATGAATATGTTCGATCAGCAGCAGCATATGGATGTCTACTATAAGCATTAATCAAGAACTAAAACTAAAACATCCAACACGTTAAAATACTCTCAACACTTGTTGTTTTTTGCCGCACAAACGCAACACTAACCAAACATTTAATCCATTTATCAAGAAGATTACACTTCAAGTCCGTATCAAACAAAATACTATCATTGAAGGATGGAACACATCAAGCTAACTGTCGCATGCGAAAGAACACTATGCATACACAATCGGTTCAACACACTAATAATATAATAATGTATTACATAAATCATGATAAAATAACACAGCCCGGGAAGGGAAAATGTTACATGAAGAAATTGAATTAATTAAATGCAACGTATAAAATGTATATCTTATGGCAGTTTCTTTCTTTTGGGAAGTACTAGTACTTAATTCTATTTAGCTGAAGGATAGGTAGGAAATATAGAAGGCATTCCTATTTTATATTTATTCCACACAAAATCATATTCTAGCAAATCTTGGTTATTCATAAAAAAGCATTTCATTTGCTTCACCCAAAAGTATGCCAAGCTAAAATCTAATAAGTTTGTATCTGCATCTTTAAGGTAGTTAAGGGGACTTTGAATTTGTAATGTATTTGTAAACTTTGTATTTAAAATAAACAAAAATATATACATTGAAATTAAAATTTGTATAAGCAGATTTTTTTTTTGGGAAAATCCAATTTTCAAAATTTCATAACTCAGCCAAAAAAGCATCAATTTCATTTTGGAAAAGAATTACATGCTAGTTTTTATAAGGCCAACAAATCTGCATACAAAATTAAAAATGTAAAATTTGGCAAATTTTTGAACAATTTAATGATGTAACAACCCCTTATAAAATTTTCAAAATTTTGAAAAAATTAAAGTTTCGCCAGATATGGCTAAAAAGGTTCATCTGTTGATGCTGATCAAGAATATATATAATTTATAGGGTCGGAAATGACTCCTTCACTTAGTTTTACGCTTCCGACTGAAGGTGCAATACCATTTTTTAATGGATATTACCTATATTTAACATGCAAATTTGTTGGACAAATCAATATTTAAAAAATCCGTAACTAAGCCAAAAATGCATTAATTTCCATTCGGAAAGCGCTCGTATGTAAATTTTTAGCAGATTGTTGACGCTGATCAAGAATCTATATGATTTATGGGATCGGAAATGACTACTCCACAGTGTACTAAGCTTCTGAGTGAAATTCTAATTCCCTAAAATTCCCTAATATAAATTATTAATATATATTAAAAATATATTTGATATATCTTTTATTTAGATTATTATTTCTAAAATCGTCTTCATGGTCCTGGGCATCCCTGCTATTCATTATTTATGTTCAGATCTTGAAAATGGAATTAGGGAAGCTGTATAACTTGGGTTATTATTTCTCAGTACAGTGAACTTTTCGAGTTCCTATAACTGGGCATCCCTGTATTTCTTAATTTATTTTCAGATCCTAAGCCTTATTACTTTATTACTTTATTAATATTTATTATTATATTAAAAAGATCAATAAAAATACTGAGTCTGAGGTCAATGTTATTGTAATCTATCATTGAGTTTATGCTTAGATCTTCAAAGAGAAAGGAGGACACTTAATTTTAATCATTCTCTTGCACCAATTTACTCAACCCTTCCTCTATTCTTTATTACTATTTATTCTATGAATATATTATTTTACGAATATCTTATACTGATCAATCAGTAAATTAATATCAGAAAACCTTAAAGGTTCCTTTTTCGAAGGGGACATTAAATGTCCTCTAGGTAAGCTATTAATTTAATTGTGAGTAGATATAGAACCAGTTCTCCTCTTCAAGGATCTTTCAATGGGTATCCCTTGCATCACAACTTAATATTCACTTAATTTAATTAAGAATTAAAGGATTCACACTCACCCAATATGGCGCGTAGGTGACCCTCGAGGGTCTGCAGGATCGTTTGCTTGATCTCCTTGACGCTCTTGCCCAGGAATTGCTCGGATGCAGTGCCTAGAAGCTCGTCCGCCTGATGGTGGAAATAATAAACATTCATCATCTGTTCGTGTGTGTGCATGTTGTGTGTAAGTGTGTGTGTGTAAGTGTGGTGTGTTTGTGTGTGTGTGTTGTGTGTGTGTGGTATTTTTTGTTTGTTTTGTATGTCCGTGTATAGATTGGTGTGCATGTGTGTGGAATGGCATTTTGCAGATTCGATTTTGGAGCACAAATATTTCACATAATTTCGGTTGTTTTCAATTTGATATTTTGATTATTTAAATTTTGTCAATATTTTATTATTAGTTTTTGTTTTTATATTTCACCCACACACACGCACATGCACACACAGACAGGGCGACAGAGATTTATATATATATATATATATAGAGAGTATATATGTATATAGAGATATTGAGCGATACATGGAGTAACGGTAACAGCAGCAACCAGAGCAGTAACGGTAGTAGTAACGGTAGCAGTAACAGTAGAGCAGTTTTTTTTTGGGTATTTTTTTGTTTGGTATTTTTTGAATTTCAATTTTGGAAATGAATGCGTGTGTGTGTGGTTATTTTTCGATTTTTTGTATTTTTTTTTTTTTTTGTTAATTTTAGTTGATATTTCGTATACAGTTACAAGTTAGTTTTGCGGATTAGTTGTTTATTTTTATGATGACGTTGAACGATCGGTCGCAAGGTTTTTGGTCGATTTTTTTGGTTTTTTTTTGTGGTGGTGAAAAAGAAAGTAGAGAAAAAAGAGAGTAGAACACAGAGAGATCAACAAGGTTTCATAATTGATTGCTTTTTAGTATCTTAGTATTTTTACTTTTTTTTAGTATTATTTTGCAGACTGTACTTTTCTTCTTCTCCTTCTTCTTCCTCAGCTTCTGATGATGATGATTGAATGAGTTTTTGATCAACAACAAAAAAGAACGAAAGAAAAGCTTGGAAAAAGCCACTAAAGAAAGCAGAAAGCATGCAATTTTAGAAAAACACTTAAAAAAAAACTTTATTTAGAATGGAAAACGTAACATGATTTTCCGTTTCGCTAAGTGTATGCGTGTGTGTGTGTGTGTGGGTTGAGGTGCAAATATGGAAACCAGGCATGAAAAACAAGATCCAAAATCGAATTGTTAAAATCAAATAAATGCAATAATAAACATACCTCGTCGTTATTATAATCGTTATGTTTATACGAAGATGACTGCAAAATCGAATGGTAAACAATTAAGTTATGGGGGACAAACATAATTTTGAGGCAGTCAGATTAATAACAAAAAAAAATCGATCATAATTGCGACCAAACTTATGAGAGACAGTGACTCTCGGTGACTGTGAAGTGCAGTTTTTGATTATATTTCATTCATTTTGGTGCTGCATTCACAGATTTTTATGTGATCAGACAAGTGGAGTGCCATGATTTGAAGATTGAAATTTATCTGTCATTCGATAACAGATATCAATAAAATATGATTGGTTTAATTAAGTAAAGAAATGATTTAAAGATCAAAGCAAAACCAGTAATGGAATGATTAATCCTTTAAATGATCAAGAATCATAAGAATTATATATTCATTTAATGAATTGATTGAATGATTTACATTTGTTGTTAACACGTGAGTAAATATTCATATAATTGAATTATAAACATAATATGATGGATACACTGTCCGAAATGTGGCTGAAAATGTCCTGTAAACATTCAGTTCAATGTCGAAAACTGTACTGTCCAAACATAATTTCAGCAAACTGATAAATAAAACCATATAATAAAGAAGTGCAACGATCCAATATAAATCTATAAGATAACTCATTTGAGATTCTAGAAAAAAACGAATAAATCTAGCAAATAAAGGGACAAACAGGCGAGGGTGTTTGATGAGTTCTATTATTTTGGTGCTAATACTAATATGCTATAAATATATATAGATTTAAGATCTAGTACTACGTGGGAAGATCGCCGGGATGGATGATCGCAACTTACTTGGCGGTGTTCAGATTGAGAGCACTTGCTAGGCTAAATAGGCATTCGATGGGAGGATGGAGGTTGGATTACTTGGGAAACGGGCGAGGGAGATTGTACAAACAAGAGCCAAACATTGGATTAAGATAAGTTTCGATACGGATCGGTTATAGATATATCTAAATGTTCAGTGCTGCCAATTTAATGAAATGTTAATCGATAACTAAACATTTATCGTTACTTTTCTCGATAGGCAGCACTGATCGAAGGACAGAATGGGTGTGCAGGCAAGGATACAAACTTTCTACTTTCTAATATCGTCCAGGAATATAATAATATCGAGCATTATCAACAAAACTTGCATCTACATTTATATATATTTACTATATGTTTACGGAACTCAAAAACAAACTCGGGCAAGCTTCAATCACTTTCGCTCAGATACTCGGGGTGCAGAAGAGAAAAGGGTCAACCAGGTCAACCTAAGTCAGGGGGCAATATCTAAATAAGATATATCGCTGGCGGGGATCTTACCTTCATGATCTTGCATTGGGCCACTCCGGTGACAGTCAGCGGCACCCCCTGGGCGGTCTCCACATTCTCGCACATGGGGTTCAAGGTCATCACGTTTAAGGACAGCCGTTGGACATCCGTCACCAGCCACCAGGCCCACGCCCATCCACCCACAATGGTTCGCTTCTTCGTGGAGCCACAGCAACCACCTGGGAAATAAATGAAGGATAGGGAGAGAAATTAATAAGAGTCTAAAAATTAAGAAAATTATTATTCTTATTCAGATTGTAATTTAAATTAACAAAGGAAACTAACTTGGGGAAGCCGAAGATTATATAGAATTGTAGTAAGCAATTTAATTATGGAATCGAAAGATCGGAAGTCGATCATAATTAAGTTTAAGAGATTCCCATTCTTTGAATCGATATTTATTGATAAATCAAAGTTTAAAAACCTCATAACTAAGCCAAAAAGCATTAATTTCAAATCGGAAAGCGTTCCTATGTTAGTTTTTATAAGGGTTAAAAATCTGCATACTCAATTCAAAATTTAAAAAAATTGTAATTTTTTGTCAATTTTTAAAAATTTTAAATTTTATAAAATTTTCAAAATTTTGAAAAAATAAAATTTTCGCCGTACATAGCTAGAAAGATTCGCCTGTTGATATTGATCAAGAATATATATGATTTATAGGTTCGGAAATGACTCCTTCATTTAGTTTTAAACTTCCGACTGAAGGTGAAATACCACGTTTTAATGGATATTATCTATATTTTTACATGTCATTTTTTGGACAAATCAATATTTAAAAAATTCATAACTAAGCCAAAAATGCATTAATTTCAATTCGAAAAGCGCTCGTATGTTTATTTTTAGCAGGTTAAAAAAACTGCATACTCCACTTGAAATATGAATTTTTGGCCGATTTTTAAAAACTTTAATGATGTACCCCTTTCCTTTTTTCAAAAAATGGTAAATTTCTGAGAACAATTTTTTTTGTCGGATATAGTTAGAAAGATTGGCCTGCTAATGCTGATCAAAAATATATATGATTTATAGGGTCGGAAATGACTCCTTCACTTAGTTTTAAGCATCTGAGTGAAATTCTAATACCCTTGGTTCTTAATCATACATTTCTATATATTTCTGTTTTCCCACTTAAACGATATATATCGGTAAAGCAGTACTCCTCTCGTGACTTTTTCTACTCTTGAGCGCTATCTTTCTCTCTCTACCTCTTCTCTTTTCCATTTTAAGCTTCTCTTCTGCCATCGTAATAATGCAACGTAATGACGTCACACGCACAGTGACCCACAAAAAGGTGTTGTGACTGTGTTACTCATATATTTATTTATTCATTTTTTTTACCTTTATTTTTTGACACTTGACCAAATAGTAAGAGTGAAAGCATTTCGCCAGGTGCAATGGTGTGCGTTCAATGTGTGATTTGTGATGTCTACGTGCCGGCAAACATGTCTCAAAGTCCCAAAGTCCCAAAGTCCAAAAGTCCAAATGGAAAACCATTGGAAAACAGGAAGCTAAAAAAATGTTCCATTGTCCATTTACAGGGGAAAAAAGTAACGGAACAGAGCCACCGGTCAAAAAGGGCTTCAACTCTTCGACTCTCTTTTTGGAGCGTGGGCGCCCGAGAGCAAGAGAGAGAGAGAGTAATAGAGAGAGAGAGAAGGAGTAAAGCTTTTTGCCATCTCTAGTGGCACTTCTTTCTTTCTTTCTTTCTTTCTCTCGTCTCTTACCTTTTCTTTCCTTTCTTCTCCAGTCTTTTGGTTCAGTTAGTCAGAGAAGCTTGCAGCGTGAGGTTGCTCAGTGGTAGCTCCTAACCCCGGCCCCACCGTCACAATCGAGTCGGAAGCGCGCACGCATGCGCAAAAAGAAAAGAAAGAAAGTGCCCACAGTAAACACACACACACACAACACACACATAGCACACACACGAGGAATACGATTCAAAACAAACGAAACGAAACGAAGAACCGCGTAGAATTTAATATTTTATTTGTTGTTTTCGCAAGTGTAAGTAAAGTGTGCCAGCCAAAAGTATCATAAAAGAAAAAAGAAATCAAAGTCTGCCCAAAAAAATATATATATGCATAAAAATTCTGAAGCGGTGACAGGCCGGCAATCAAAAACGAAAGAATAACCAGAAGCTTTCTCAATGAAAGTGATTCATGGTTCTCCTTATTATTACTATTATTTTTTTTCTTTTTGTTAATATTTGTTAAATAGTGTTATGCATTTCTCTTTGCTTAGTGCTAATTGGTGTATTTAGCAACCTATTTTCATATTAAAGAACAGCACAAGAGGCATTAAACCTTCCCTTGGTGGTTAAACCTTCTTCTTTATTTTTTTTTTTCGTTTGTACCTTGAACTTGATCGGTGTGGCGTAGCTCATTCAACTCTTACAACCTGTTTGCAACAACAACAACAACAGTACAACAATACAACAACATCTTACAACAACATGTTTGTAATTGCTAAAAAAAAACAAAACAAACAACAGCATCTAAAACTTACTAGACTTTGATTATGCAAAAGATTGGGAAGAGGAAATGTTTTTCCCTCTCTCTCTAACTCTCTGACTCTCTTTCTCTCTTGGCTTCTTGTTGTTGAAAAGTTAAATAGAAAAGAAATAAAAAAAACTCTACAAGTACAGTGAAACTTCTATAGAAAAAATCGGTTCACCAAAGATATGCATTTTTTTGCAATAAAAGAATAATTATAAAAACACTACCCTCTATAATATAGTTAATTTTTTATAGTTCAAAGTTATCTTGTTATGTGTTACAACCATTTTATTAGATTTCCAAAATGGATTCTAGCTCTAAAATAACTTAAACCAAGCTTAAAATTAAAATCTGATTAGAAACTTGGTACTGATTCATTTTCTACTAAAGTTTTATAAATTAAAATGCTTATGTTTTATAATCCAAAGTTGTCTAGTTATGATATATGTACATATCATTTTATTAAAATAACAGTGCCTGGCAGTAGAATTCCCAACAAGTTTAAGCCTAAAGCTGTTCTTAACCAAGCTGAGTCGTCTTCTGCCAAAGTTCTAAATAATTTAAGCAAAAAACATATTACATAAATATCTTTGAAATTAAGATCGCACTGAATATATTGCTTAACGTTTTTTGTTATAATTATTTTAATATATTAAATTCTCAAAAAGAGCTTTTCCTAAAGAATTTTCATAAAAGAATTCAAAGTACCTATAATAAAAATTGATTTCTTTTAAGCTTTACATTCAAAATTCAAATTCATTTAAATTCAAAAATAAATATTTCGAATAGTGTTTGAAAAGAGGCTTTTGTAGAGGCTTGACCGTGCCCCTGAAACTGGTTGCAATTGGTGAGTGGAGTGGAATGGAGTACGTGTGAGTGGCGAGTTGTGCATCACAATTGTTGCATGCCGTTCGATCGTTCGAGTGAAAAGTTGCCCATCGTCGGCATTTTCTGTATATTTTGTTTTTTTTTTTTTTTGTTGTACATTTTTCGTTTTTGGGTGCCCAGTAGAGTTTTATAATAGAGTCTTGGGGAAAGATTTCACTTTTATGCGGGAGGCCCCTCAACCCAAGATGCTCGATGTATTACACCTCGTTTCAGCCAATCGCACACCTTTCCATTTATTTATTTTTATTATTTTGAAAGAAAACAAAAGGTGCAGCACGTGACGCGAAAGATTTATGAAAAGCAGTTGAAAAATGCCTATAAAATTATATATTCAAAGTCCAAGTTCGATGGATAGCCATGTACAATTTGAGTTAATTAAATTTTAATGAGTGCTAAGAGTGCAACATTAGTAATGGTTGTGAAAACCACAAAATACGGATGTTGTTATTTATAATTAAAAAAAAAATTCATTGGTGAATATTTTCTTTACAAATAAAATATTTTTGAAACTTAAAAATGAGTTCAGAAAAAGCATTGTTATTATAATAATCAGATTAACCATAACTATCTTTATAATATTGATAAATCATACCATTTCTATCTTTATAGAATAAATATCGAATAATATAAGTATCGAATTTTAACTTCCAATTTAAAATATAAATACATATTTTAACGTTTCCATTGTCTAACTGTTTTGAATTCATATTCTGATTGATATATTGAACCATACCGAAATTTACCGATATTTTTTTAATAATAACGATACTGATCATTAAAAGCGATATTTAATGGTATTTAAAATTTCAATCTAACAAATATTTGATATATTTATATTTTTCAATATACTATAGATAGTTTTTATTGGTTTTTTCTTGTTGATTTACATGCATCTGTGCTATAACTTATAAATTAGTGTGCAAGATCACGATTATCTCGACTTGAATTAACCTGACAGAGTTGAAAAAGAAGACTTGAATTGGAATTGAAATTGGCATAACAAATGTCACGATTACGAAATGGCAGCAACCCGATGAATAAGGCGTGATTGTAATATTGATCATGAAAATTGCACCCCATAACCCGGTTACAAACGATGTCACTTTTCAAGTGTCGTGAGTGGCCTTTTCTCTCCCTCCCTCTCTTTCTCTATATATCTCTATTTCTTTCTCTCTTTCTCTATCTCTCTCTCTCTCTTTCTGTCCCTCTCTTTAACCTCAATCTTTGTTTTACAAAATGTTCATTTCCCTTAAAAACTTATTTACTCATTGCAGTCACATAAAGTCACTGAAATTGGAAGTTGGCCAGTAAATTGAGTGTCCCATATAACATAGCTCTGACGGAACTACCTCCTCCTCATCCTACTTCCCTGATTTCCAAGGAAAATGAGCTCTGCGATTGTGGGAGCCGCTTCCGCCATTGGTGGAGCTGTCACAGCGGCCACCAGCAATAGTTGGTTCATCCCAATGCTAATGGCAGCGGTGGCCTATTTCCAATACGAGGAGATCATAGATCCCGAGTCCAAACCAAGTGATGTGGGTGGCGATGATATACTCGATCATTATGATTTTATAGTGATAGGAGCCGGGTCAGCGGGTGCCGTGGTAGCGAATCGTTTAACCGAAGTGGAGAATTGGAATGTGTTGCTCCTGGAGGCTGGCGGTGATGAGACGGAACTCACAGATGTCCCTCTGATGGCAGGGTATTTGCAGCTCTCCAAAATCGATTGGCAGTACAAGACGGAACCATCGGGCACTTCGTGTTTGGGTGAGTGTGTCTTATATACTATATAAAATATATATTATATATATCTTTTCTTGATTCCACAGCCATGCAAGGAGGTCGCTGCAATTGGCCCCGGGGTAAGGTCCTTGGCGGTAGCTCTGTCCTCAATTATATGCTCTATTTGCGTGGCTCCAAGCATGACTATGACAATTGGGAGGCCATGGGTAATCCCAGTTGGTCCTATCGCGATGCCTTGTATTATTTCAAGAAATCGGAGGATAATACCAATCAGTATTTGGCAAATACACCTTATCATGCCACTGGTGGTTATCTCACCGTTGGCGAGGCTCCTTATCATACTCCGCTTGCGGCTAGTTTTGTGGAGGCTGGCGTGGAGATGGGCTACGAGAATCGAGATTTGAATGGTGAAAAAATGACTGGCTTTATGATTGCCCAAGGAACAACCCGCAGAGGATCACGTTGCTCCACTTCCAAGGCTTTCCTCAGACCAGCCAGATTGCGTCCCAATTTGCACATCTCAATGAATTCACATGTCACAAGGATTATGATTGATCCCGTCACGAAACTAGCCTTTGGTGTGGAATTTGTCAAGGATCAAAAGTTGTATCATGTTAGGGCCACCAAGGAGGTGGTTCTCTCCGGGGGATCAGTGAATAGTCCACAGCTGCTGATGCTCAGTGGAGTGGGTCCCAGGAAGGAATTGGCCAAACATCGGATTCCGCTGATCAAGGAACTGAGTGTTGGTGAGAATCTACAGGATCACATTGGTCTGGGTGGATTGACTTTCCTGGTTAATCAACCCGTTTCCATTGTGGAGAATCGTTTCCATACCATGTCCACTGTCCTCCAATATGCTGTCTTTGGCCAAGGACCCTTGACCATTCTGGGTGGAGTGGAGGGTTTGGCCTATGTGAATACCAAATATGCAAATGGCTCTTTGGATTGGCCAGACATTGAGTTCCATTTTGTATCGGGTTCCACAAACTCGGATGGAGGATCGCAGTTGAGAAAGGCTCACGGCTTGACAGAGGCCTTCTATAGAGCTGTCTTTGAACCGATTAATAATCGAGATGCCTGGAGCATTATACCCATGTTGCTGCGACCACGTAGTGTTGGTAATATCAAACTGAGAAGTGGCAATCCCTTTGATTATCCCTACATCTTTCCCAATTATCTAACGGATGACCATGATATGAAGACCCTTATCGAAGGTGTCAAGATCGCTGTGGCATTGTCACGAACCAAGGCAATGCAGCGATTTGGTTCCCGAATCTCTAGTATCCGATGGCCGGGATGTGAACAGGTTCCCCTATTCACGGATGCCTTTTGGGAGTGCATGGTGCGAAGATATACATCGACCATTTATCATCCCGTGGGAACTTGCAAAATGGGTCCCTATTGGGACAAGGATGCCGTTGTGGATGCCAAACTAAGAGTTTATGGCATTCGAGGATTGAGAGTGATTGATGCCAGCATTATGCCCAAATTGGTATCAGCCAATACGAATGCACCGGTTATAATGATTGCGGAAAAGGGCAGCGATATGATCAAGGAGTTTTGGATCAAAAACACCATCGTCTGAGAGGAGTTACTTGACCCTTGAGAGTAGAATAATAGTGTTAAGAGTGTGAGAGATCTGGTTCTCTATGATCTGATTTTTTGGGTTTATTAAGGTTCTATTGGAAGTTCTACATCCATATTCCATGATAACCAACTGTTTCTGCAACAGAAATATGAAATACTAGTTCTTACTCCTAAAAAATATTCAAAAGAATAAGAAGAATAAAGAATACTGTAAAAAAATTAAGAAATCAGATCGTAAGAATAGCTTCGCTTATCCCCTGAGTGTTTCAGTATATGTTTGAGTTCCCCAAAATGTGTGAATATAAGTATTTTTGAATGCCTTGAGTGACTCTGTGTAAATGTTTTAGTTTTTAAGAGGCTTAAAATTCTTCTAAAATTAATTTTATTATACCCATTCTTGAGCCTAATTTACCAATTTTTTTTATTATTATTTTTTAAGCACAGCCCTGTGTATTTATTTAAATTATTCAACATGTGAATGCAATACAAAGTAAAAGAAATTGAGTGTTTTTTTTTTGTGGTTTTATGGAGGGGCTGGCCTCAATTTCTCAAAAATGATATCTTTATTGTTTCGATAAACAATCTTTTGATAATTTTCGATAAGTGATAAAATCTTAATCAATTTAAAATCAATATAAATATATAAACATAAAAGTAAAAGCTGTTGTAAGACACTTAAAGAAATGTATACTTAATTCTTGTTTAGTTTTATTAAAAAAAATTACTTGCTTATATATTTTAAATGTTTTAATTATCAGTTGCTTGTATTAACTTTACCCACTCTCATATTTCGACTGACTTTTCATGAATATACATTTGTATATATTATATAAATGTGTTTTTTTTATGACTGGCAAACAGAAAGCAGCGCAAAATATAAACAATAATGTACACATGGAGAAATATTGTTATATACTTTTGAAATTTAATATTTATTTTAATTATATCGATAAATTTATTAACATTTTCTAGATAATATCGATATCTTCGTTATGAAAATTTCAATATATCAAAAGTTTATGATATTCTTGATATGATATCAAGTAAGATAAATTTATTGAGGCTTTAAATCAAACTCTTCTGCCTAATTTCTCTCTGTGCATAAGAAATGTGTTTAATTTCGTTGATACGGTTATCGTTCGTACGTCGTGAGGCCTTTAATTGTGGCTAAAACTCAACCTGTTCACAGTTACCGATCCCATTACCGCGACATCAGTTGAAATTCAAAGATGGTAGAAAAGCAACCACGGTCAAGGCTGAACCTTCTTCTCCTGCTCGGATTTCTTCTACTTTCTTTGGATGAGACAACATCCTCGCAATGGTTCACCGTGGACAGCAATGGTCTTGGCATCTCATTGATGGAATCTGTGGCTTTGGCTTTAAATAACTCTAGTTTGGAGTTGGCCAACAATACCGCCTGGCCATTGCAACACGATCCGAGATCTTCCGAGGAACTCCCAGAGATTGAGACCTACGATTATATTGTGGTGGGTGCAGGAAGTGCCGGTTCCATTGTGGCCAGCCGGTTGAGTGAACGTTGCAATGTGCGAGTACTCCTCCTGGAGGCTGGAGACTTACCACCATTCGAATCGGAGGCTTTTAGCCTAAGTGGTGCCCTGCATCATGATGCCAGGTACATGTACCTGGATGAGGCGGAACCCAATCCCGAGTGCTGTCAGGCCATGGAGGAGGGTCATGGTTGCTCCTGGTGGCATGGTCGCATGATGGGCGGCACTGGGGCCATCAATGGTAATATCTTTGTCCCCGGCAGTCGGAGTAACTTTGAGAATTGGAATGCCACCGGTTGGAAATGGTCCCAGGTTCAGGATACCTATCGTCGCCTTCAGGCACGTTTGAAACTCTCCTATTTGGAACCCAATCCCCTCAACTCGAAGTTGGCTAATGTTATTTACTCCGGAGCCGCAGAATTGGGTGTACCAAAGATGTGGCAGCCACTGATAGCAGGTGTTACCTATGGTTACACCCATCATGTTCCCGTGACCATTAATGAAGGTAGAAGAGCCAGCAGTGGACGTTTATACTTGGCTCAGGATGGAATCAACAGGCGACCAAATCTAAAGGTGATTCGAGGAGCTCAAGTGAAGAAGGTACTCCTAAATCCCGAGGGTAACCTGGCCATGGGGGTCACCTACACTCTCAATGGTGATCAGTTCACCGCTTCAATCTCTTCCTCTGGTGAGGTAATCCTAAGTGCCGGTACCATCAACTCTGCCAAGTTGCTCTTAGTCTCTGGAATTGGACCACAAGAGGAGCTAAGCAGCTGGAATATAACCGTCCGGCAGGATTTGCCAGTGGGTCATAATCTTCAGGATCATGGCATGTTGCCTCTTTACTTGATTTTCGGTTCAGATTGCGCGGTGAATAGCACTCGGTTGCCCACAGAGAATCCCTATGGACCAGTCTCTGTGGCCAAATATCTCCTGGAGAGTCAAAAGGGTCCCCTCGCCCAGGGTTTCTACATGATGGGTTACATCAATTCCCGGACACCGCATAGTTTTCTCCAACAACCCGATCTTCATGTGGTGGCCCATACACTGTTGCCCAAGGGTAGCACTGGTAGCTTTGGTTATCTTGGCTTTCGGCCGGAATTGATTCAAGCTCAGGTCGGTATACTCAAGGATTATGATCTCCTTCAGATTATGGGTTCACTGCTGCATCCCTTATCCGAGGACGAGTGCGTTTAGCAAGTGACACGGAAGCCAGAATAGAGAATCATTATGCCGAGGCTGAGGAGGATCAGCAGACTCTGCTCCGCTTTGTGAGATATGTCCAACGGTTGACCCAAACCCGAGCATATCGCAGGTGTGGCCTCCGTCTCTGGCTACCTCCTGTCCAGGAATGTGATGCACTCGCACCCGATTCCGACGATTATTGGTTGTGTCACATTCGTTACTTTTATGTGGGTGCCTGGCATTCGGTGGGCACTTGCCGGATGGCACCCAGGAGGAATCCGGAAGCGGAATCCCAAGCGGAGGAGATGGAACCAGGTGGCGTTGTGGACGAGAGACTGCGGGTGCATGGTGTCCAGGGACTTCGAGTGGTGGATGCCAGCATAATGCCCGAGTTACCAGCGGGTAATACCAATGGACCCGCCATGATGATAGGCGAAAGAGGAGCACAATTAATTCTCGAGGATCGAGGAGAAGACAACGAAGTTATAACCGATTGTTGAGAGAAATGTAATAATAAATAATAAATAAATATTCCATATTTAAAACACAAATATGCAAGACTTTAACTAGAAATGGCATACAAAATATAAATAAAGCAACGACATTTTATGGAAAATATTGCTTTGATATTTAAAATGCAATATATAAATTCAAGTCCTCAAAATTGGCATGCTTTTTTTAATTACTTTGCTCATCTGGCTTCAATGATAAATTTCATTTTGTAAATTTAAGTTTTTATACTCTTGCAGGGTATATATAATTTATAATTTTAGTTAGAAGCTTAAAAGAAAGTGAAGGAGTCATTTCCGACCCTATAAATTATATATATTCTTGATCAGTATCAACAGGCGAATAGTTCTAGCTATCTCTGAGCCAAAAAATATTTTTTCAGAAATTTCCCATTTTTTTAAATCATGAAAATTTGCAAAAATCGGCCAAAAATTCACTTTTTAAATGGAGTTGCAGTTTTGTTAACCTGCTAAAAATAAACATACGGCCGCTTTCCGAATTGAAATTAATGCGTTTTTGGCTGAGTTATGAGATTTTTAAATTTTAATTTATCGAAAAATGTCATACAAAATTATCTATAAAAATTTATTTAAAATGCGAATATTTAAGCTTACTTATGATCGGTTTCCAATTCAATTCTATTGTACAAATTGCAAACTGCTAAGGTATATACATTTTGGTTGCCTTTCTTGTTTTCCTTTCTTTGTTCTTTAAATTTCTATATAGTATATCCTCTATGATATATGTTCTTTTCTACCCAAAACCAAAAGTCAAGTTCAAAAAGTCTGTGGCAATTATTTTACCCTTTTATAAAAAATAAAAGATAAATAAATGCAAACATGTATTAAACATGAAATGATATATGATAGTATATAAAATATATACAAGTATATATACATATAAGTATACATTTTTTTTGCAATTTGCCACGCTTATCGCATTTCTTTGGTTCTTGCATATATGCCTTTTTTTATGTTCTGTTTTGATCAAGTCATTTGTTTATGGTCTTTTTTTGGGGGCTATAGCTTTGGACATTAAACAATAAATTTATATAGTCATATTATATATACAATAACCCACATTTACTGTGTATTTCTATATCTAATCGGGGTTTGTTGACTTTTTATTTGGGGAGGCTATATAAATTAAGCTTCCAAAATAAGAGGGAATATATATTATTTACGGATTAAAGATTGTGGTATGAGCATAAAGTTGTGATAGTTATTAAGTGTGATGTAAATAAATATAATATTATAATCTTTTATATGATATATTATATATTATATCATACATTACTTTAATTTGCTTGACCTTTGTCCAACCCTTTCTTAGCTTTTTTAACCAAACCCTCTGATTTTTGTTCCAAGAGCTATCTTCCCCCAACATTTCGTGTGTTGTTCAGTGTTTGCTGGGTTTTGGGATTGCAGAACTGTTTGTGGTCAATGCACTTTTCTTAAAATAACCCAGAGAAACCGCCACAAAGAACCCAATGTCTTTGGGTCAGCGAAACATCATTTTACTGACTCAGCTTTTCGGAGTTTTCAATCGGGAAAGAGACCCAAACTCGCTTTCGATTCCGCTTTTAGTTTCAGTTTCACTTTCACAATGAGCGCGATTAATACCTTTGTGGCAATGTGGCGCTTCCTGCTGACCCTTGGCCCCTCGGCCATGGTCATTTTGCTTCTAAATAAAGGAATTCTCGAACAACGACCGGATATTGTGGATGATCAGCATCGCGTTCGTTCCATTTACATTGAAGATCTGCGGGATATTTATGATTTTGTGATTATTGGTGGCGGCTCAGCTGGCTGTGTTTTGGCCTCACGTCTCTCCGAGAATCCCGAATGGAGTGTCCTCCTCCTGGAGGCTGGTGGAGATGAACCAGTGCTCATTGATTTGCCACAATTGTATCCAGTTTTTCAACGTAGTCCCTGGGATTGGAAGTATTCGACAGAGCCCTCGGATCGCTACTGTTTGGCCATGGAGGATCAGAGATGCTTCTGGCCACGTGGTAAAGTTCTAGGCGGTTGTAGTTCCATCAATGCCATGATGTATATACGGGGTAATCGTAGGGATTATGATCATTGGTCTCAGTTGGGTAATCCCGGCTGGGAATATGGCAATGTCTTGCACTATTTCCGCAAGGCGGAGGATATGCGAGTTCCCGGCTATGAGCATAATCCATATCATGGCCATGGTGGTCCCATTTCCGTGGAGAGATATAGGTGAGGTTTTGCTATCTAAAGGAATACGATATATATAATATATTATAATATATATTTCTGCATAGATTCCCCTCGCCTTTGCTGGACATCTTCATGAGGGCTGCCCATCACTTGGGTCTCGTTCATCGCGATGGTGACTTCAATGGCCATTCCCAGACTGGTTTTGCTCCACCTCATGGCACTCTGCGTGATGGTTTGAGATGCAGTGCCAATAAGGGTTATCTCCGCCGCAGCTGGCAGCGTCCCAATCTGGATATTGTCCTCAAAGCCTTTGCCGAACGTTTGATCATTGATCCACAAAGTCATCGCGCTCAGGGTGTAATCTTTGAGCATGGTCTTTTCAAGCATCAAGCCATGGCTCAAAGAGAGGTCATATTGGCCGCCGGGGCCTTGGCCAGTCCACAACTGTTGATGGTCAGCGGTGTGGGTCCACGGGAGCAGTTGGAACCATTGGGTATACCCGTGATTCAACATCTACCCGGTGTTGGTGGCAATCTTCAGGATCATATCTCCACCTCGGGGGCCATTTACACCATCCAAAGTGGCCTCAATCGTTCCTTGTCCTTCATTGTGCCCGAAATGATGACCGAGGAGGCTGTGGAGGAGTTCCTGGAGCGCAGGGAGAGCTTCTTCTATGCCATGCCCGTGAGTGAAGTGATGGGATTTGTTAGTACAAAGTATCAAGATCCCCGATTGGATTGGCCCGATGTCCAACTATTCATGGGCAGTTATGGTTATGGAGCTGATGGTGGAATGATTGGTCGCCGAGGGGCTGCAATTACATTGGAAAACTTTGCGGAAACCTTTGAGCCGGTATTGTATCAGGATTCCTTTGTGATTGCTCCACTGGTAATGCGTCCCAGGTCGAGGGGTTATCTCCAGATCAAGTCAGCGGATGCCAGGATTCATCCCCTGATACATGCCAATTACTATGATGATCCCCATGATATGGCCGTGATGGTGGAGGGTTTGAAGATGGCCCATCGTCTCACTCAGACCCCGGTGATGCAGTCCCTCAATGCCACCATGAATATTTACGAGTGGCGCAATTGTCCAGAGGTGGAGTATCTTAGTGATGCCTTTTGGGAATGTCTGGCCAGATTTTATTCGCAAACCATTTACCATCCGGTGGGAACTTGCAAAATGGCTCCAGCCTCGGATCCTGCCGGAGTTGTGGATCCCCGATTGAGGGTTCGTGGTTTACGTAATCTTCGAGTGATTGATGCCAGCATTATGCCTACCATACCCACGGGAAATACAAATGCTCCGACCTTGATGCTGGCGGAAAGGGGAGCGGATATGATCAAGGAGGATTGGAGGCACTACAGAGATGGAGGTTGGTCTTAGACTCAGATGGAGAGTAAGGATGTATATCGAGGGGAAAAGTTAGACAATAAAACCTCCCTTACAATATAACATTTGTTTGTATTATTTCTCATTCAAAACCAGTAAAGATTGTAGAGTTTAAAGAAGTTCTCGACAACCTTTATAAGAAATATGTTATAATTTTAAATAAATCACATAACAAAGCACTTGAGTTATTTTTCTTGGCAAAAATACTAATACTTGAATACTTAAAGATCATAGAGCGGCAAGGAAAACCCTTTAGAAATTAAATGCATGCCTCACTAATGGAGCACCTATGACATTGGTTGGTAATTATTACAAAACAAGTGTCTTTCTTATATAGTAAGTAACTATATATCACTTGTTTTGCCATTCCTCTGGTCTATCTAATTTGCTTTGGTAATGATCTTGGCATTCATTTGACTCTTTGAGCTCAATGCAATAATAGCTGAATGGCATTGCTATTTTTTCCCATTTTCATTTTCAATTGAATTCACGTTATTCCATTTATGTTATGTTCTCTTTATTTATTTTTATTTTTCTTTTTTTTTCTACACAAAACCTGATAACATTTCCCAGCGGTTCGTTCTGAACTTTTGCAATTTTTGCCGTCATGTTTCCTTTGTTGTGAATATTTATGAATGTGTTGGCACACTCAGGGGGTCTTTAGTGAATATGGGTATATGGGTTATATAGAGATTGAATGAATAATATTAAAAAATTTGATATTTTTTTGGAGTATATTATAGTTTGGTTTTGGGAGAAATTAAGTTAAGGAAATTTAACAATTTTTTGCTTTAATTTTAATCAAGAAACCCCATGAATTTCTAGTGTTGTGTAATGATATTTAATTATTTCTATAAAAAACTATGTTTCCCACAGTTCGCATTACATTTAGATACATTTTACAAGGAAATTGAAGTATAATTCACTGAAATTTCCTTAATTTTTCTTCAGGGGTATCTTATAGTCGGAAACTTTTTTTGTGGATTCAACAAGTTTAATTTTAATCAAAAAACCTCCGAAATTTATAATGTTGTATATGTTTCCCTAAGTTTGTATTACTTTTAGATACATTTTACATTCAAATTTAAGTTTAATTCCCTAAAATTCCCCTAATTGTTCTTATTCCCGGGTATGTAATAGTCAGAAACTTGGTTTTTTTGTGGAAGTTCAACAAGAAATCCCAGAAATGTCTAGTGTTGTATAACGATTTTAAATCACATTTGAAAAACTATGTTTTCCCAAGTTCGTTTTACAATTAGATCAAATTATTGTAGAAATTGAATTAAGATTCCCTGAAATACTCTTAATTTTTCATATTCCCGGGTATCTTATAGTCGTGAACTTCTAACTAATTCTTCCATCGTTCTCACACGTTTTCTGCCCGTAATTTATGAACGGCCAGTGAACCGAAATGGCAAATGGCATCGGGTAGCCACTGAGTTTTTACGAGTTTGACCAGTTTTTGGGGTGCCTCGAATGAGTAGTGAGTGCGCCCCCAGTGGGCCATGGCTTTGTGGCGGATCGGAAAAGGTTTTTTACATTTTGCGAGACTTTTCATGCGAGTTGCGGTTGGAGATTGCAGTTTAGTTCACGTCCGCCACTGAAAGCAACATGACGTTGCTCTGGGAGCTGCCATCGATAAGATGGTTCATGATCCTGATACTATATATCCTGGTTTTGGATTATAGCCTGGCTTATCCGCAGCAGCAGCAGTTTTTCCTAGCCGAGGATTTGATAACAGAAACGGGAACGGGAACGGGCGCAGGCGCAGATCCTTTGATACCCGTCAATGATCCTTCGGGTAGGTTTATTGATCTTTTTAGGGTAATATACATTTTTAAAAATATATTACATACTTTTTTATACATTTTCCTTGCAGATCTTAGTGCTGGCTTGAATTTGGCACCTGTTGGAAATTTAATAGCTGCCGCTGCAATCGCCGTGCCTCCTGCCCCTGTTCAATTTATACGCACGGCCATGAACAGTGGCCTTTAATTATTTTAAAAACTATATAATATTTGTTTAAGCTCTATTTTTTTCTAAACATTTTTTTTTAAATTAGTTTATCAACTGGATTATTTTTTGTCCTCTATTATTATTCCTTTTTTTGTACTCTTTAGTTGTTGTCTTAAGGTGAGCTTGTTGTGTTTTTGTTTGTTGTCTTTGCTTTTCGGTGCTATAAACAATTTTTATGATACGAGTTTTATCTAGATATCTACATTTTGTGCAATCGCCTGCCTTAAAAGCTGTTTATTATCTAGATTTATTATCGGAACACTCTAACCTACCATTATCTTTACTTGAAGCAGAGCTTTTAGAGATAATACAAATGCAGAGAGATATCTTGAAGAGAGCAGTGAATATACTTAAAAAATACATATTAATTAATTCTCAAAATATATATATATAAAAAAAGTTGTGAGAGAGTTCGGATTATGTGGTATTAAAAATCATTTAAATTTTATATAAAGTGAAGAAAATTTGGAATTTAAAATGGCTTTTGTAGTTCTTAAACTATTAATTTAAGAACTTTCTTTCAACTTTGTATGTTAAGGATCATTATTTTTGATAAAGATATAAAATAAATCAAGTTATATTTTATATATAATATATGTATGCTAAAAACAATTTGTTAATGAGTTGGAAAAGCGGTATTTTCCCTTTTTCTTTGATTTTCAGTGCTCAGAAATGGCTTTGCCACTTCATCAAGAGCTGATACCGATGAAAATTCAATTGCTCACGATGATGAGAGATGATGATAGATGGATCAAAGATGATCAGCATCTTATGAACACTTGGAAAATTCTTATTCTTATTTTCCAAGTAAAAAAGTAAGATGGAAAATGTATCCTTCGAGGTAAAGATTGGATAAAATATAGATATGTATGTTTACTGATTTTACATTGTAACAAATATTGATATTGATAATAAATGTACTTGAAAAAGAAAAAACAAAGCATTAAATACTCGAATATCTATAATTTTTTATACTTTCTTAAATAAAATTGATATTTTTCAATACAAAGGATATACATTGATAATATCGATATGTAATTGTTATATTTAAATATTTATTGATATATTAAATGCATTAAATACCATTTAAAGATATTATTCTTTTTAAATATTATCAATAAATAAATTGTAATTAATTTGTAATATCGATATTTTTCAAGATTAACAATATTTCGGCACTAAATTACTCGATACTTAATATATTGATATTCTATACTGCATTTAAATCGTATTATAGATTCAAATTGAATTGATCTCATACCAAAGAAAATAAAGTTATAAAATGCTTGAAGAATATAAAAAACTTTTGTATGGTTAATTTTTCCCAGTGTATTTCTCTGACACATTCACACGAGTGCTGCCGGCGCCTGAGTCAACGTCCTCCTCTCTCACAGAAAGCGGTGTAAAGTGAGGGAGGAGGAGGAGTGGATGCACTGTACCGGCTTATCGGAGCACTGGAGCACTGGAGCAGCACTTGGCGATGATGGCTATAAAAGCGAATCTTCAACCTCGACTGCCTTTCAGATACAGAAAAGAATACGCGTTAAGATGTCGCTTGCCGGCGACCTAAATCCCCTCCAGACACATCAATGTGGATTGCCAGATGGAGGAGCAGGAGGAGCAGGAGGAGGAGCTATAGGATTGTGGAGCGGCATGGTCTCCTTGCTGGTGCAATCCCTACTCTCCGCCCAATGTCAGGTGACTTCGCCTGGCCAATGGCCATCGGATTATAAAGGTGATCTAAGTGAACCCTATGACTTTGTGGTAATTGGAGCAGGATCAGCAGGATCTGTGGTGGCCAGTCGGCTCAGCGAGAATCCCGAGTGGCGTGTCCTCGTCCTCGAAGCCGGTGGAGATCCACCGGTTGAGTCTGAGGTGAGTTTTGCCTAAGCATTACTTAAGGCTTTTGGTTTAGGGAAATTTTACATAAAATTTTCCTTTTTGTAAACCATTTCCCCATCTAATATTTTGTTATATTTCCCAAATTATTCCATTTTTCATAAATTCATTATAACTCCTTCTAGATATATATTTATATATTCTATATTCCTGTGGTTTGTTTTCTGTGAAATTCTAAACTTTATATTAAATTTCTGCAGAAGTTTTTTAAATTAAAAATTACCCATTCTTATTTTGAAATTTCTATTATAATTTCCCCTAATATATAGGAAACATATTAATTTTTAATACATTTTCTGCAAGTGCATCTATAAACAGAGTACTTGAGTGGTTAACACCCTACAAGTGGATCGTAAAACAATTTTTGTCCGACAGTTTAAGTTTATTTTTCACTCTATGCTAACATTAAATAAGTAGATACTATCTCGTTCTTAAATAAATAAACATTACGGAAAATTAAATCGGTTTGATTGGATGAGACTGTTCGGTAGTCTTGTTCATTAATTATTATCATTATTATTGGCTTTGCAGGGCATTAAATTTCAGTCAGAACCTTGAAATTCAGTGAAGAAATCATTTCCGACCTTATAAATCATATATATTCTTGATAAGGACGAAAAGCCAAGTCGATCTAGCCAAGTCTGGGAGAAAATTTTTTTTTTCAAAATTTTTCAACATTTTCTTCATCGTTAAAATTGTCAAAAATTGATCAAAAAATTAAATTTTGTACATTTTGAATTGAGTATGTAGGTTTTTTAACCTACTTAAAACTAACATAGAACCGCTCTCCGAATTGAATTTAATGCTTTTTTGGCTGAGTTATGAGATTTTTAAACTTTGAATTGTCAACAAAAATTGTCATATAAAGAAATCAATAAATATGGATTCAAAAAGTTGAACTTTTTAAGAATTTCTAGAAAGTTAATGCAGAAACATGCCTGCATATCATATAACATATATGATGTAGATCGTATTTTTATATATATAAACTTTTCTTAATACAATACATTTCCTTTTTCAGCTTCCATCGCTATTCTTTGGCCTACAGCACTCGGATTTCGTGTGGAATTACTTCACAGAACCAAGCTCAGAATCCTGTCGCGGAATGAAGGATGGACGTTGCTATTGGCCACGTGGCAGGATGTTGGGTGGATCGGGAGCTGCGAATGCCATGTTGTATGTGCGCGGAAATCGACGTGACTTTGATGGCTGGGAGGCAATGGGAAATCCGGGTTGGAGTTACGACGAGGTTCTGCCCTTCTTCGAGAGATCTGTGACGCCACAGGGTAATGTAGCCCATCCCCGGGGTTATGTTTCCTTAAATCCCTTCGAACGTAATGATGAGGATATTCATCAATTGATTTTGGCTGGAGCTAAAGAGCTCGGAGTACCCCATGTGCCGGCCTTTGAGGAGGGCAGTGAAACGGGTTATACCCATGTCCCGGGAACAGTGCGTAATGGACAAAGGATGAGCACTGCAAAGGCCTATCTGGGAGCAGTGGTTGACTCAAGGCCTAATCTTCATGTGATAAAGAATGCTCAAGTTACAAGGATCCATGTGGATGAATCTAATCCTCAGCGTGTGAGCTCTGTGAGCTTTGAAAAGGATGGTAAACAACATGGAATTAAAATAACCAAAGAGGTTGTGCTCTCTGCAGGAGCTATAGATTCACCAGCTTTGCTCCTACGCTCCGGCATTGGTCCCAGGCAACATTTGGAGGAATTGGATTTACCTGTACTTCTAGATCTTCCTGGAGTTGGTAAAAATCTACAAGATCATGTCCTAGTGCCGCTTTTCATGCGTCTGGATGAGGGTCAGGCCAAGGCAGCCACCGAGCAGGAGATTTTGGATGATATTTACAATTATTTAATGCATCGCAAGGGACCTCTGACCACACCCAGTACTGCCTCCCTGGTGGCTTTTGTTAATACAAATGCGAGTAGTGAGAGTGTTTATCCGGATACGGAATATCATCATTTGTTTTTCCAGCGTGGACGCCATGATTCTTTGGAAATTCTCACCCGAGGTCTGTCATTCCAGGAGCAATATGTAGAGCATTTGCAGGATTATCTACGTGATTCACATCTCCTATGTGTCTTTGTTTTGTTATCACATCCTTTGGCTAAAGGAGAACTACGCTTGCGAAGTACAGATCCTAAAGAAGCACCCATCCTGACCAGTAACTATTTAACAGAGGAGGAGGATGTGGCCACTCTTTTAAGGGGTATTGCCTACATGGAATCCTTGGAGCAAACAAAAGCCTTCCAAGAGCATCGTGCTGAATTGGCTTACATTCCCATTGAAGAGTGTGATAAGGTGAAAAACTATCGCAGCAAAGAGTACTGGCATTGTTTTGCCAAATACTTTACAGTCACCTGTTATCATCAATCGGGAACCGTGAAAATGGGTTCCCGAGATGATCCTGAGGCATGTGTGAGTCCCTCGGGATTAAAGATACATGGTTTGAGTAATCTCCGAGTGGCTGATGCCAGTATCATGCCAGCTGTGGTCAGTGCCAATACAAATGCAGCCACTGTAATGATCGGGGAAAGGTTGGCGGACTTCATTCGGAAGGAATATGAAAATTTAGAGAAGGTGCCGCCACTGGCGCCATCGCATATGCACGCGGATGGATTGTAAAATCTTGGGTTTCTATATATATATATATAAAGATATATATTTCCCATTTCCCATTTCAATTCCAAGCACAGCTTAGTGTATAGATCACATTGCACAAACTGGCAGATTGTCAACAAGTGTTGTTTACACACAAAACAAAATACTTTTCATATAAAATCACAATCAATTTCAACTTAAATTACATAAAACATAAGAAAGATATATTGGAATTTAAGGATGTTCAAGATTTTCCTTGTGTTTAACATGTTATAAAAGAGTTGACCTCAAAAAAACTAAAACTACCTATACTTTTCATATAAAAACATTTCCTTTAAATCCTAAAAAACCATATTAGAGTCAAGAAAAATAGCAAGAAAGAAGAAAAAATAATTCCTGTTTAAAATATATGTACATTAAGCATATGTTTAATAGTTTTAAATAAAATTAAGATACTTTTTTTTGTTATTATTTTTAAGCGAAACTTGTATAAATTGAAAATAAATTGAAAAAAAAGCTTCTTTTGCTATATTTTTGTTATACATTAATTGTTTAATTATTTTAAAATTAGCTCGAAAGCATTCTTTTTTGAAATTTTTCTATCTTTGAGTATTCTAAAGCCATAAGAGCTTGTAATTTCAGCTCTCTTTCACAGAACATTTATTGATTATTTTCCATATTTATAATGTGATTAAGATGGATAATTAAACCATAAGTCCGAAACTAAAATTGTGTGAAATTTTGATTTTTTTAACCAAAATACTTTAACGTTTAAAGTATTATGACAAATAATTTTTTACAGCGCACTATGGTCCCACTATTTTATTTCCTATACTTAAAATAACATTTAAAAATCCAGTTAAACTATAAACCCAAAGTTAAAACACATCTCTCTCTTTGTGTCTCCCAGTTTCCAATCAGGTAATCAAAATATTTAGCATATCTCTGCCTAAACTTGACCCACAACCAGCCTAAAAAATACACAAACACACAACAGGTTTGCCAAATATCTCAATAAAAAAAACCTGGTCTTATCAGAATCAGAAAGAAAACTTTAACTTTAACAAAAACGAAACCCCAAAAAGAGAGAACAGAAGAGAATCATTGATCCTACAAAACCGAAAAAATTATAATCAAAAGCTTCTTTCCAAGCATTAAAGATAATCGCAAGTGCAAAGAGATTCTGTATTTTAGTTTCTAAACACATATGTATATATATTCTCGATTCCGTATCTGCAGAGACCCTCTAGACCCTCAGTTCTGTTCTGGGTTATCAAAATACCTCGCACCTTGCAGCACCCATGGCTAATCTTCGTGTGATAAGGGGAGTGCCACCCGGCGATGAAGGCGGAAGGTGCGTCTAATTTATGTGAGTATATGATGGGGTATATATACGGTCGAATGGGAACGGGAACGGGAACGGGAATGAGAACGACAAATGCAAATGTCTCCGAAGCTTGTTTGATTTACGGACACCGCTGGCATACGAAAAGCTCTCCAAGCACGGCCGTACAAATTCCGGACTTATACCGGTCCAACACACCAGTTGCCGTTCAGCAAAGAGAGCGAGCTAACGTCCAGCGGATCACGGATCACGGACTACGGACTACAAACTACAGAGTTAACCCGAGGATAACTAGAGAATTAACTCAAGGAGCATTAGAATATATTTCCCAGGATATAACTGGTAAGTTTTATGGGAAAATCTAAGGAGAATATGTTGTAAAATATTCGAGTTAACAGGAAAAGAGGTCCAAGTAAATCAGGATTTAACAGTATTTAACAGGAACTTAACAAAAGGTTAGAAACCGTGCAGTTTAATTTTTCACCGAACAAAAAATACAGAAAAACTCTAGGAAACGTTGTGTGTTTAGGTGATAAATTAATAGTTTCAACAGTTTCTCTTTGAAATATTAAGGTTAACAGGGATATCAAAGGAACTTAATCAGGGGATGTTAAAAATGTACTGGTTAACTTTTTCACTAAGCAAGAAATACAAACAAAATCCAGGAAACTGTGTGTATTTGGAAAAAACTTGATAGGTTTAAGAGAATTATTTCTCTGAAATATTAAGGTTAACAGGGATATCAAAGGAACTTAATTCAGGGATAGAAACTGTATAGGCTAATTTTTGACAGAGCAAAAAATACAAGAAAAAATTCTAGGAATTCTGTGTGCATTTAGAAAAATAACTTGATAGTTTCGAGTGATTGTTTTCTTTGATCTCTAAAAGGTAATATGTAGTTAACAAAAACTTAACTTAGGGATAAAAGTTGTCCTGGTTAAATATTAAAAATAAATATTAAAAATTCAAGAAAAATAATAATAACAGGATCATTTTCTTAGGATCTATCCCTGATCTTTTAAAATGATGTATATAAATTAAAAGTTAATGTTCAAGTTATTCGGGCTATAAAAGTTGCATTGGTTAAGTATTTTCTTGAAACAAAAAAAAAAGAGAAATGGAGAGAGAAATATATATAGAGAGAGAAAAATATAGATAGAGAAAGAGAAATATATCTATATATATATAGAGAGAGAGAAATAGAGAGACATTCAAGAAAACTTTAACTATTTAAGTATTTAAAGATTTTCTTTATAGTTTCTATAGGATATTTACCAGATCTATTACCAAAATTATATATAGTTATACATTTTCTTAGATATATTTCAAGTTCAGAATAGTATCTTGCGGGTAAAAGCTGTACCGGGTAACTATTTTTTTAGAAGTGTATATAGAAACTTCAGAAAGTTTTATATATTTAGAGAATAACTAAATAAGTGCCAGTGGAATTTTTCCCAAGTAAATAATATATGACTCTATCCTGATCTCTAAATCTTCTATATAAAAGGTAATTTATATATTTCTATATAGCTTAACTTAACTTAATAGCTGCCAGTGAAATTTTTCCCAAGTAAATAATATATGACTCTATCCTGCATCTCTAAATCTTATATATAATAGGTAATTTATATATTTCTTTATATATTTTCCGTAGCTCTTTGAGATGGAGTTTCTGAGCGCCCAGTGCGCCGCCCGTTCAGCGGGTCCGGCCAACACGCTCATGTCCCTGCTCCTGTCCACCCTGATAACCAAGTATTGTGACTTGAGTGGCCAGCAGCAGTGGCCCGAGGATCGTGGCGATTGGTTGGACAAAAATGGTGGCTTCAAGGGTGAGGACTATGATTTTATTGTAATTGGATCGGGAAGTTCAGGGGCCGTTGTGGCTGGCCGCTTGGTGGAGGAATCCAACTGGAAAGTGCTTTTGCTGGAGGCTGGTGGTGATCCACCCATTGAAACGGAATTCGTGGCCTGGCACATGGCCACTCAGTTCTCCAAATGGGATTGGCAATATCATTCGGAACCCAATGGACGTGCCTGTATGGCCATGTTGGGTGAGAGTTGCCATTGGCCGAGGGGCAAGATGTTGGGCGGAACGAATGGCATGAATGCCATGATCTATGCCCGAGGCACCCGGGAGGACTTTGATGATTGGGAACGTAGAGGTAATCCTGGCTGGGGTTATGACTCTGTGCTGGAGCACTTCCGCAAGGCGGAGGATTTACGTTCCACACGTCCGGATTATAAGCCCGGTGATCATGGCGTTGGTGGACCCATGGGCATCAATAACTACGTTTCGGATAACGAATTTAGATCAACGATCCGCGCTGGCATGCAGGAGATGGGCTATGGCAGTGCTCCGGATTTCACAGAGGGTTCTTTTGTCGGACAAATGGATATTTTGGGAACTCAGGATGGTGGACGTCGCATAACCACTGCACGCTCTCATTTACGCAAGGATACACCGAATTTGCATATCCTGCGACACGCTCATGTCAAGAAGATCAATTTGGATGGCAATAATAGGGCCGAAAGTGTGACATTTGTGCATCGCGGTAATAAGGAGTACACAGTGCGAGCCAGCAAGGAGATTATTCTATCTGGAGGAGCCATCGGTTCACCACAACTTCTACTGCTCTCAGGTGAGTTTCCCAGAAAAGGGAAAATTATATATAAAAATCATATATAAAATACCCTCAAAATAAGGTCTGAATGTCAAGAGCTTCATGTTCTTTACAAACTTCTAGAAAATCTAATTTTATCACGTTATAAACTCATTTTTAAGTTGCATTTTTCCTAACCCCATCATTTCCTCTCTATAAAAAAACTGTAATTAAAATTTATGATAATCCCTTAGTTAAATCAAGTTATTTGTAGTTTGGCTTAGCTTCTGTGTGTTTGTTTTTTGTTTGGCCTGCATTTAAAGACCTGGTAAAACGCGACTCTTGATAAGTGTGATTAGATTAGACGGAATCACTAACGGTATCCCGATATCAGAGAAACCGTAACCGGTGTCGATGCCATGTCAAAGTCACACGCTCAAGGTCAAACGATCACAGTTCGGATCATAAACTATATAGCAACAAAAAAAAAAAAAAAACACACACAAATATTTAACGACAGAGTTATTTTTTCCATTCGGTACTTTCCCTTAGAAGTTAAGGGTCTTACCTATATTTTACTTGATGAATATGAGTTACGAGCTTTGTTCTCATATTTAGCTTTAGTTTAGTTTTAATTGCACTCACCTGCAAAGAGAAAGGGAAATAATAGTTAATTAGTAAATATATATTATAGAAATCATAACAAACTAAATGTAGTTGCCGAAAGAACACGTTTTCGCTGTGTTTCATGAATTTTAATAGGAAACCTGTCATGGTTCTTTAGGTTTGTTTAGATAGAGACAGGTTTTTATACACTATAAATATAATTTTGAATAGAATTTTCAACTGGTTTTGAGAACAAACTTTTTAAACAAGAAGGCAAGCATTTATAAAAGTAATAATATCTATTTGTTATACATATTTCATAATTTATATAGTAATATATTATAATTTATAATATTTTCCAGGCATCGGTCCCGCCGATCACCTCAAGAGCCTGGGTATACCCGTTAAATTGGATCTTCCTGTGGGTCACAATCTCAAGGATCATGCCAGTTTGCCGGTCATCTTTCAGATTGATAAGTCCACAGCTAGAAAACCCACTGAGGAGGAGCTAGTGGATGCCATGTATAACCTCTTGATGGGTCGCTATAGCAAATTGTTGCATCATGAGGCTACCGCCTTGACTGGTTTCATTAATACCACTTCGATTGAGGGTCCCAATCCGGATATTCAGACCACAAACTTCTTCAGTTTGATGCAGAGTCCTGAGCTCAAGGGTTATGTGGCTGCCACCGGGTTTAATGATCGTGTGGCCAAGAGTATTCTTTCGGCTAATCAGAACACAAATACCTATATTACCTATTTGCTACACCTGAAACCCTTCTCCGCTGGCAGTTTGACCCTGAAGACAGCCAATTACTTGGATGCACCCATTTTGGATCCTGGATATATGACCGATGAACGTGATGTGGATACTTATATTCGTGCTTTGAATATCTACAAGAATCTGCCAAATACCAAGGCATTTAGTGAGCGAGAGGCGAAGCTTCACAAATTGGATTTGGAAAAGTGCAATGGCCTGAAGTATCAATCGGATGAGTATTGGCGTTGTTATATTCGTCACATGACCACCACTGTCTACCATCCGGTGGGCACCACTCGCATGGGACCCTCATCCGATCCCACCGCTGTTGTGGATCCACGTCTTCGTGTCCACGGGGCCAAGGGATTGCGTGTGATTGATGCCAGCATTATGCCCGATATTGTTGGAGCTAATACCAATGCCGCTTGCATCATGATTGCCGAAAAGGGAGCCGATATGATCAAGGAGGATCATCTCGGCAAAGTGCAGCACAACGAGCTCTAAGTGAGCATCATTATACACGAGTAGACATTCTATAGTTTTAAGTACCAAAAAAGTGTCATCGAACGCTTATATTTTTTTTGTTAGTTATTTTTTTTTGTCTCTAATAAATATGCATTTGATATAAAAAGGGGTTTGTTTCTATTTTTTTATTTAAAGAAGAATTTAAATGTGTTTGCAAGAGGCTAGGTGCTTTGTTTTAAATGGAAATACATTAAATTTCTAGCTAAGTTTTTTAGAATTCCTAAAAATACTTACTTCTTATTTTTACATACATTCTTCCGAAGAGTTTCTACAGAAATCTACACAATCTTTATTTTTGCTGTGGTTGGTGTCTACACTAAATAAATATCAACAGTGACTTCAAAACTGTGTTTAAGTTACAAATAACAGTTAAAGTTCAATTTTTTTATGACTGTCTTTAATGTAGAAAATCATAATTGTTTTCTACTTATATTATAAAAATCGTAAATCTAACCTAGCGAAATGACCAAGTAAATGTTGCTAAGAAAATGTAGCTAGCATCATGTTGCCAATATACATGTATCTTGCATAGCAATTTCTGAGACATTTTATATCTTTCATTTTAGTTAAAAACTTAAAATACATGTAAGGAATCATTTCCGACCCTATAAATCATATATATTCTTGATCAGCATGAACAGCCGTGTCGATCTAGCCATGTTTGAAGAAAATTTTTTTTTCAAATTTTTTTTCAACATATTTTTGATCGTCAAAATTGTCCAAAATTGATCGAAAATTTTAAATTTTTTTACATTTTTAACTGAGTATGCAGATTTATTATTTTACTTAAAACTAACCTGGGACTGCTTTCCGATTTAAAATTAATAGATTTTTGGCTTAGTTATGATATTTCTAAGATTTAGTTAAACAAAAAATTGTTACACTAAATATTAATAAATATCGACTGAAAGAATGGTATTAAAATTTCAGTCAGAAGCTTAAAACTAAGTGAAGGAGTCGTTTCCAACCCAATAAATCATATATATTCTTTATCAGCATTAAGAGGCAAATCTTTTTAGACATTTCCGGCAAAAAAAATTTTTTTTTTCAAAAAATTTTAAATTTTTAAATCATTAAAATTTTTACAAATTGACAAAAATAATTCATTTTTTGACATTTTTAACTGAGTATGCAGATTTATTAACCTAACAAAAACTAATATGGGACAGTTTTCCGAACTTAATTTAATGCATTTTTAGCTAAGTTATGATTAAATTCCTGTACGAACATTTCGGTTTCACGAAGTTAGTTTTCGTTCTTTGTATTTTTTGGTTTTCCTTGTTAATACTCAAATGTAATTTTATAAATATATATAAAAATGGTAAGTAAATTTATATTTTATTAATATTATATTACATAATATTATATTATATTAAAATGCTTCTCCTTTTAGATATTCCATAAATACCCATAAATACTTTCCATCAAAATTAGTATACTTTTACACACATAAGTGTCTTATATCTCCTCTTTAAAGGAAATTGCACAAATTCCTCGAAAATCACAAAATATTGGGTGTGATTTTTTTTTGTAATGATGCTGATTTATACGCTACGAAAATATATATTCATAAAATAAAGTGCACCATCAGCATTGAGTGGCGATTGTTTTGTATTGAGTCTGGGGCGACACTCGATGCTCGGTCGGCCTGGTTAGCTCGTTTCATTTTTGATTGACAGCTTTCACTTTTCATTTTTTCGCCTTTATATACATATATATATATATGTATATATAATTTATAATTTTTTTTTCGGCAAATTGCAGCTCAATTTGTAAAATATTTGCAGACAGCGCAAAGCGTGCCAGTTTTTGGCTTTGTTTGAGCCTTTCGGCGTTCATCTAATGCATACCAAAAAAATATAAAGCTAAACGCAATTAATTGTTGGCCAAAAGTGTTTCGGCCATACTCGAAATTATACAACTTAAAGGTGGGATTTGAGAATGGTTGCTACAGAGAGAAAAGTGTAGATTTATTTAAATGAAAATTTAAGGATATAGATAAATTACTTGAATCTACAAGCAAACTTTCTTAATTTGCTTTAATTTATAAGATGTTTTTCTTCAATTAATTAATTTTTGAAAAGAGAAATATGAAGATTTATTTAAATTAAAATTTAAGGATATAGTTTATTCAATCAACAATTATTTAATGTACAAATAAACCTCTTTAAGAGTAATTTATTTCATATCTCTTTCTTTAATTAATAAACTTTTAAAGAGAGAAAAATGTAGCTTAATTAATTGAATATCCAAGAATATAGATACATCTACAAACCAAACCCTTTTAGTTTTCATTAATTAATTTGCTATCATTTTCTACAATTTAATTAGCCGGAAATGCAACTGCCTTATCCCTATTACACATAGTTTAAAGTGAGTGTGGAAAAATGTACTTTTAATATAATAATTGTTTCGTAAACATACACACTATTTTTGACCCCATTTTCCACGGGTCGCTAAAGGTCTTGCAATCCACTCTTCTTTTCCTGCACTTGACCAAACCTTACCACAAAAAATGGAATCCAATTAAATGAAATCGCTTGCGATACGAACTCGGATAGTGTTTAATGGATAAATGGAATACCTGACACATTCGTTGTGTCGGTGGAAAGTGGAAACATACATATACATAGATATAAAAAGAAAAAAAGAAACACTAGTGGCGGAAATTCCTAAAGTCCGAAAGCACAAAAACAATTTGTACAGTTTAAGAGTTTAGTGATTAGATGAAAGATGAGAGATGCTCTTCTCGCTGTGTTTTGGCTGCTGAATGTCAGTCTTTTTTTTTTCTTTTTAGCTACTAGTCACTCTTTTCCTTCTTTTGGGTAACCCAAGTGGTAACCTAAATACGCACGAGTATTGAATGAGAGTGCGAGTAGTGCTTGGATGTCGGGCACGTCGTCCAAATCCGGCATGCTCGACTGCCGTTCAGATACAGATACACACACGAGCTCGAGGTATCCGTGAGATACAAATCGGAGATGGACGTGAGAGGAGACCAGATCGTGAGTGGGTTTTAACACTCCACAGGTGGCCATAATTAATCACAAACTTGACACTAATTAAATGATCAATTTATGTTGGGAAAGACTCTTAGGAAGGAAACCGAAATAAATTTACTGAAATCATAGCATACTTTTTGGTCAATTTGCTTAGAGACCAACTTTAGACCCTTTTGTAACTATACAGCTAAATAACTAAAACTTAACACCAATAAATTGTTAATTTTTGGAAAGATTAATAAACAGGAAAAAATATACAGATAGCATAGCATATTTCTTGGAATTACGGAGAGAAAATAAATTAATAATTAATCACAGCATATTCTTTGACAGTTGTTTGAAGGTATTAATCAAGATAAATCCCTTTTGTAGTCATACTATTTTTCCTAAACAGTTGAAATGAGACATTATTTAATTAATAACTTTTAGAAATTCTAGAAGTCTAGAAAGAAAACTTTTTTACATATGTATATTTAAATAAAAAACAAAATCCTATAGATTTAAAGTTGCTATAATAATTATCTTGGGCATTTAAAATGTTATATATGGCTTTAAAATAGTGTTTATAAAGAATATAAACTAACAATTGTGACACGTTTAATATTTATCATATAAAAAATTCCTGGCAAATATCACCTTTAGAATTCTGTAAATAATATTTATATATTACATTGTGCATAATTTACCTAACTGATATTAATAATATTAATGTTTAGTTTATTTTAAAAATCAGTTTTCCTATAAAATAAATAGATTAACTCAAAAATAAACCCAAATTTCGTGTCACGCACGCGAGCATCACTATGTGAATTACGAATCACTCGCCGCACTTGATGCCATTAGCCCATGGCTTCGTTTCTTGCATTTGTCGTTTAATGAAGTTCATTTCCAGATGGATCCATGGGATGGAGATACGGATGACGCAGCAAAGATAAAGACGGGCAGGCATTGAACAAAAAATAAGAAAAACAGAAGATTTTTTGGAGGTAATACAAATATTATTATGTCACCCCGTGGCTGGCGCCTCTTCAATTTGCCCAACTCTTTTTTTGCTTTATATTTCCTTTTTTTCTTTTGTATATTTTTCTTGTGGCCTCTTCTATTTTCACTTTTAATTGCCCTCGAGCCAAAAATTGTTTGTTGATTGGGCAATTGGGGGGACCTCTTAAAAAAAAATACCATTGCGTGTGTGTGAGAGTGAGTTTCGAGAAGTAAAGTACATAGATCTTTGCCGGAAATCGTTTAACGTGTAGGTTAGTGTAACACTAATTTGTAACTGTAGCGGAAATTGTTGATTAAATATGCACAGAAGCCTGGGAACCAAAAATGCAAAGTCATTATGAGGCATTAGTGCTTATTAGATGGAGTTTTTTGTTTGTTTAATGATTGGAGTAATGGATTTCGCACTTTCTGTAAAGTTTACAATTATTAAAAGCGAAAGGGAGAGTATTTAGAGTATTTTGTTAACATTCTGTTTATATTATCTAAATAATATTCGTTTAAAAAAGGTTTACAGATAACATTACACTTGGATTTCATTATTTATCAAGTAGTTATCCGTCTTATATAGCAGAACTATTAGCTAAATAATTAAAAAACTCACATTTAAAAGCCCCAAGTGATGGTCTCTCACAGAGTGAGTAATTAAATGAAGCCTTAACCCGAATAAATTAAGTCATCCTTGGTTTGTCAACTACTTGCCTCAGAATAGAGGTCACAAAGCATCATAACAACCTTAAAGAAAATACATTCAAATTCCCAAGAACAAGTTTCCATAGTTTTTCACAATATTCACAAGATCAATCAAAGGCCTGAACATCTTAATTAAGGGGAAAAACTAAGGGCTTCACCATTAGATTTGGAAAAACCAAAATAAAAGCAAAACAGATACAAAAACAAAGGCAACAAAAATATTTTATTGTAAACATACTTATATTCTTGTTTGATTAGCAATCGAGTTTTATTATAACCACTTTAAATATTAGTTAATAGTATTAAATATATAATTTAATTAAAAAGAAGTAAGAAAAAGTTGCTGTTAATATTATTGCACGAAATGGAAAATACTCTTGCATTTATCC